AATCCCGAAAGTAAATCTAGTGTGGAAAAGAATCGCGCTCCCGCCAAGGCGTCCAGCGATTTATCCATCCGAGGGAGCGGGTATGCGTCGGCAACCGAAATTTTGTTAAGACGTCGGAAGTCAACGCAAAACCGCAACGAACCGTCCTGCTTTTTAACCAGGACGATCGGCGCTCCCCAAGGGCTGGTGGAAGGAGAAATGATGTCGGCGGCTAACATGTCATCAACAGCCGATTTGACATGGTCCTTTTCGGCGGGACTCAACCGAAACGGATTTTGTCGAATTGGCGCGCTGTCACCCGTGTCAATATGGTGACGCAGCAGGTGAGTACAACCCAAATCGTATTTATTTCGGCTAAAAACGTCGGAAAATTCCCGCAGTAGTGTTTTAAGTTGTTGACGCTCTGAATCTGACAGGTCCGTCGATCCCGCACAAAGCGCCTCGAGCCACCCTTCATCGTTGTCCGAATGCGGTCGCGACGCAGGGACAGTGCTGGCGTGATTTACGACGGGTTCCTCACAAGGCACCGGCGTTGCGTGAGCAAGCACGGTCCCCTGTGGGACCACCACCGTCTGCGAGCCCACATTGAGGACCGCGATGAAGGGTTCACCGTCCCCTCTTACTATGGTCTGGGCCGGAAGTAAATGAGGTCCACTAACTCCGGCCCTAGACGGCCCCAACAGAACCCCTTGGGCCCCAATACCCTTAGCGAAGGGCCGCCGAAGTTTCAAAGGTATCAACATTTGCGCCCCCGGAGGGACGCGCACCGTTCTCTCTACGAACGCCGGCACCGTCGCGCACGCCGTCCGAGTCGCAACCGGTGATGGCAGAAACGCCATGCGTCTGCCCGACGGAAGCTCTATACATCCCTGGTCGATCAATATCCTAATCGGCATTTTGGCCAGGAAGTCCGTCCCCAGCAGGCACGGAACCGCCAGCGAGGAGGAAACAAAAATCGGCCCAGACAATTTAATTTCCCCAATACAAATTTGGGCACGAATTTGTCCGATGATGCCAAGTGAGCCCCCGTTAGCCGCATAGAATGGTATGTTAACAGGCATCAAAGGACGACTCCGGACAGGGAGAATATTGTAAATCAATTCCGAAATAATAGTCGCCGATGCTCCCGTATCGACCAGGATGCGCACTTCAACCCCGTCGATGTACCCCACAACGGCCGACGACCCCGACGATGCGGCTACCACACGATCGGCCAGCACGGACCACTGGCCGGGTTCGATATAAGTACCCGGGGTGGTGCGTGATGGTGCGATGGTGCGCGATACCGGCCCCCCTCTCATTGCGGTGTTTGAGTGCGTGACGGGTGTGTGTGTGGGCCAAACGTGTGGGGTGCCGCGACTCGCCGGTTTATGATGGTGGAGCTTGAGATGAGGCCCGTCGTCCCGTTGAGGTGTCGTCCCGCGCTGACGAGGAGAGCGGCACCCCGAGGCGACGTGGCCCCGGACGCCGCAGTTAAAACACCGCGGGAGCGGCGTCGGAGGTGACGGATGGCCGGAACGGCCCGACCCGTCCTGGCCCGGCCGTACTCCCGTCGCCTGTTGCCGTCGGTGGTCGACGGCGTAGAGTTCCTCCGTCGGAAGGGTGGCTGCAGCCACCGCACGCCCCGCCGATGCCCTGCTGGCTTTTCGCCGGAGCGACAGGAGGTTGGCGTGGAGGAGCCTTGCCGCCTGGAGCGATGTCATCTCTGCGTCCTCCTGCGCGACCACAGCGATGTCAAGGTCGTCAGCCAGGAGGAGTATTTTCTCCGTCACCATAGCGTCGATGCCGTCGTCGTCCATACGGGGGAAGGCCGACTTAGCCATCGCCAGGAGGCTCGTTCGATACGCCAGGGGCGACTCCTTCTCACCCCGCTTGCGGTCGTAGAATTGCTGTCTGCATTCAGCCGATGGTCCATAGACCCCTCCCAGCAGCTGCAGCGCCATCGGTAACGTAGCCCGCCTCTCTCTTGGCGCCGATGTGAGGGCGGCGAGCGCGTCGCCGTCGAGGAGCGCCGGCAGCGCGCAGAGAGCCTCCTCATCGGACCACTTCACCATCTCCTGATGGGCGAGGAAACGTCTGCGAAAACCGGCCCAGTCCCCCTCCGCGCCGACGAACTCCTTCAGCGGGGGCAGCCTCTGATGGAGCGCAGCGGTCGTTGTAGATTCCCGCGGGCAGATGTCACCTCCACTCGGCTGTGCGTCGGTGCGAGCGGCCGATGGGATCGCCTGTCGCGGTTGTGATGACGTCGCAGCTTCAGCGACGGCGATGTCGGAGCGGATGTGTAGGCTGGCCACGCCCCGAACAGCTGCAGCGTCGATGGCGGGAGTTTCAAACTCGGACTGCTCCGAAATGGCGGGAAGGCGCCCTGGTCGTTGGCCCGCCTCGCTCCGTATTGAATCACCGGCCCCCAGCCGCGTGATGGTCTCCAGCGTGGCGGCAGCGGCATACAGCAGCTCCGCCAGCCTCCCGTGAGCCAGCCGCAACGCGTCTGGCTGTGGTCCTTCTTCACTCCGATGCCCCGGTAAGGAGGCATCAGGCCCCGGCTGCACCATGTCCTGTGTAGCCGTGTCGGGCTCGACGATCTCGGCAGTGTCTTCCTCCCGCGGTACTTTGGCCCGCGCCGTCTTCCGCGTGTCCATGTTCGAATTACTTCTGACACCAGTTGAAGTACCGGTGAAGACACTTGACACCGAGGTGGAGGCACACGTATATTTATTTTACACAACTCGTTCGTGGCATACAGCACTGGAGGGGGTATCGGCCCCCTCACCCGACTAGCTAAGGATACACTTCCTAGCTAATCCTAGCCTGCCTCTCAGTCCTCCACTAATGGGCTAGGGGAGGCTATTTGGCCCGACACTGGTAAGTCGGGCCCGGTACCCGGAGTCCCAGACCAGCTCTTAGAAGAGCACCGGCTCTGGCTCTCGGGACCACGCCGCTGGCTCAGTCCTGTTCGGCCCTGATAAGGACATCGAACGAGGGGAGTCCAGGGCTCTATCTAAGACGTCTTCAGTCTTCTCTGGTTAGCTTTTAACATAACTGACTCGAGCCCCTATAACGTCCCCTTTTATACCCAACCCCTCCTTGAGGGGTGGGGCCCCGGGGGATCATAACGCCGAACCAGCCCCCCCCAGGGTGTCTGGCTCGGACGTCGCAGAGGGCATCTCCCCGTGCACACACGTAGCCCCGCCCACTGTGTTTGTTTCCCATAGACTGCCATGCATAACGGGCCCTCTCTTTAACACCCCTACACAAGTAGTCGTATTGCGTTTGAGAGTAAACTGGAGTTACACGTCTGGGTGACACTCGAAGATCCGCACAGATGGGATCGCACACCCACTCGGCGCACCGTCACATCACGGGACAACCACCGACTGAAATTAAAACCCCTCGCTTTCATCCGCGTTAAACTATAATTATTATTCTGTTTCACGCGACCAGGCACCCTCCGTGTCGGTTTTCCGCAATCCAGTGGGACCACTGCTTTTTGCGTGGTTATCAGGCGAGGCTGCGGCGCGGTGTTGTGTGTTGGCTTTCCACACAGGTCAGAATCGGAATCTTTTTTCCTGGAGAAATTCGATGCGCTATGAAGTTCTTTTCCCCCCACAAATGTCCAGTAGGGGCGGGTCATAATGTTCCAACAAGAACAATAAAAAAAAACACGATAGGAGTGCAAAGCGTCGGAAAGTAAACAAATCACGAAAAGGATCTATTTTTATTTTATCAGGTAAAACCCGCTGAACTATTAGCTTCTTTCTTCAGAAGCGATCCGGCCACAAATGATAGCTCAAGGAAGTGCCTTATCACGTGGAAACCTACAGCAGCCAAATACTTTGAGTAGACTAAACGCACGCCGATTGTAAATGTTGGTGGGCGTTCGGAGGAAGCGCGCACGTGTTGCGTAAAGAGCGGAATGAGCTCACGCATTTGCGACGCACGCGCGATTACACGCGCGCGTTCATAATTGCCAGAGTGCACGGGCATTCATTAGACAGAGCCCCCCCCCCCCTCCTCCTCCACACTCACCCCCACCCCTTCCAGCCTCGCTCCCACCAACCCCCTTTCCCACCAAACAACCCATCATCATCATCACCCTCCCATCCGCTCGCTCGCTCGCTCTGCTTCTCTCTCCACTAATCACACCCCCATCACCCCCCACCGTCTCCCACCAACCCAAACACACACAATCAGCATCCGCTCCCACGAATTCACCCATTATCATCGTCGCCAGTCATCTTCCTCTCGACCCATCCATCATTACCATCCTGCCTCACTCGCTCACGCCACTGCACTGCTCAACACGCCTCTCCCCGCCCCTCCCATCACCATCCACCATCACCACCACCACCACCATCCATCACCCCCCTCATCTCCTCACCCCCATCCTCCCCATCAAAGCTCCCTGTCACCTACTCCAAAATCGCCCACCATCACCATGCATGCCTCCTTGCCTCCCTCCCTATCATCCCAACACACCTCACTCTCATCCCAACACACATCCCTCTCAAACCATCCACCTTGTAAGTGGTCGTGCTGGCTCTACCGTGTTGATGCACGACCCTGCCATTTGGAACTTGACTGTGGACATTTGTTTATGGATTTTTTTTTTTGCCAAAAATGAGCGACTATTGCCCCAATGGGGGCTACCTCTACCCAAATCAAAGCAATCCAAGCACACTTCCTTACTCCCAACACACGGTTTTGATTTGCATGGCTTTTAAATATACGCGCAAACAACCCACCCATTCGTGAAGTGGCGTCGTTCCGCCCCAATTCGGAACGGGTGCCACTTTTCCTCGCCGAGAAAGCGACGCGAGGGTTCCAGATGGCCCATCGATGATGACTGATGATGATTAATGATGCTGATGATTACGGCGATGGTGGTGGTGATGATGGTGACGGCGGCGGAAAGTGGTGAGCAATTAAAAGGCGCGCTGTCAATGGAAATCGATTGCGCGTGAGGCTGTTCCGTTGTCGCGAGGAGCACGTGGTCCGCCGCCATGAGTGTCGTGCGTTTCGCCTTTCTGCTCGCGCTGCTGTTGCCACGTGGGGGGGACGCGCTCTTCAGGTACGAGCAGCAGGCACGGGGTGTGCCCGAGCGGGAGCGCCTGTTTCAAAGGTCGGGGACGACGCACAGACGCCACGGCCGGAACCCACGTAGGGGAGCGACCTCGTAAAAGTGCAGTGAACCGGGGGTGGGACCTATCTTGGAAGGATGAAATCGTATCTCGCTCATTTTACAGGATTGCTAGACGCACTTTTGTTTTTTAGAGCAAACGTTGGGGGAGCGGCTTGTAATCCGCTGTGCGTGTGCCCAGATTTGTTATAGCGTTATCGGCATCGGGGAAACGAGGTAATACGAGTACGTCTTTTTAACCTGAAGAAATACGGTACGCAATGTATGAAGTGGATCTCTGCGCTAATTACGCAACTGACAAAAAACCGGGCTCGCAATGTTCCCTGAAGATTTTGAGACTAAACCCCCCCCCCCCCCCCCCGTCAAATTTTTAATGTGGTCTCGCATACTGACGCCTACCTACTATATAAGACCCCACCCCCCGCACACACGAGCTTGAATGTTAGTCTTTATAATCTGGAGGATGCGCATTGCATCCCGATGTTGATGACATTGTCGCAACCTCGAGGTTTGCTCGCACTTATCGTCTGTGGACTCCGTTTTTATTGTCTCTTCTGGTATTATTTGTGCCGCTTTGTTCCGACTCGTTTTGTACAACTAACGGGGTACGGTCTACACATCGCTGACCTAAATGCAATGTCCCAATCTAAATCGGTTTTGATTTGCATGGCTTTTAAATCTACGTACTTAATTGTTTTTCCATCAGCGTGATTTAAGCGCATGAATCGTGAGCGGAATTAATTTTTAATGTAATAAATAACATTTTAATAACCCACCGAAAATAATCACGCCATACTCTGAATCCGGCCGTACGAGTTTGACTACCGCCAATAGCGAATTATATTTGAACCAGTCAACTTTATACTCTCTCACCGCCACCTTCCCCCCCCCAACCCACACCGATGACCAGCGTGGTGAAGTATGGTCAAACAACTCTCCCATGACCGACACGGTAATGGGGAGGCCATCGTTCAGCAGTGAATTCGCGAAGGGACCCGTGCACATGGAGTCGAACCGACACTTGGGAATCTGTTTCGTTTTAAATTAAACAAATTCTTGAAAGTAATGTAGCCTACTCCGGACCAGGGCAAATATTTACACGGCTGGCTTTTTATTTCTCAAATGAATTGGGGGGGGGGGGGGGGATGCAATGAAATAAGGCTGGCGCTATTTGTATTATTTCACGGCACAGGAGTAATTGCGTCTGTGCAAGACTGTAAAAATAATTAGTCGCCGTTCTAAACGGGGAGCATCGCGGAAAGCGGTAATTTGCCTTCACCCAAGGAGCGTTTCGCTGGGAGGTTATCGCTCCTTGTGGATGCGAGTCGCGTGTCGCCCTCCTGTCGACCAGCGACTCGGGAGGCTCGAGGGCAAGAGGTCGTGGAAACCTGCGGCTCCGAAGTCTGATGTGGCTCCTTTACGACCGGCTGCTTCGGGACGTCATCAATGCATGTCTTCGCATGCATTGCAGCTCTTGCAATATAGGTGTTTTATTTTTTCTTTGTACCGAATTAGAAACAGAATGGCTCCTCGTTATTTTTAGTTTGCCGACCCCCCCCCCCCCCCTTATCTCGGGCGAAGTTGATCCCAGCTTTCGTAGGGTGACCCGTCGACTTGTAACTGCGCTGACTGGATCGCGGTGGCGTGGCCCAGCGGTTGGTGGTGCGTCCGCCGCTTGTTCGCGCGAAGGTTGGAATCCGGTGGGCCACCCTGGTTATTACTGCGGGTGTTTTTTTCCGTAACCAGACTGCTTAACGGTGGACGGGTTTTTTAAGTGCCCTACTGACGTCGTTTAGAAGCGATAGAGCCGCAGATGTTGCCGGCGTAGTTAACCAAATTTTGCCATTATTAAAAATGTCCCGCAACAAATTCGACTCCTAATGTTGGGATTACACGACAACATCGCCGTGAAACGTAGCAGCGCCGCCCTCCTCCATAATGGCCCTGCGCTATGAGAACGACACTAATACCGAACCTCGTAAAGTATTGTTGTTATTGTCATGATCCTACCACGTCCGCTCGCCCTCCTCGTGTCCCCCCCCGTACCCGCCAGGATCCCGCTGACTCGCGTGCGTCCGCTCCGTCGCCTCCTTGCCGAGGTGCAGAGTCTGGAGTGGGTCTCCGACCTCGCAGGGCGTGGCACGTGGAATGGCACCTACGTGGAGTCTCTCAAGAACTACTTCGATGTAGGTTGTGGGGTTGCAGGTTTTCTTTTTCTTTTTTTCTATGGAGTTGGGAAGCGGTAGTGCAGCGGTTGGAATACACTGCGCTACGAACCCGGCGACCCGAGTTCGATTGCCGCTCACGGCCAACATCTGTAATGAATATCTGAACCGGTCCCGGGCCTTCTCGAGGTCGAATCTTTGCTCAAATGAGTGCCTGTTGCGGTGTGTGTGTGAACATCGGCACTGAGAAGACAAAAGGCGGCCGGGCATGGTGCTGGCCACCCACCCCTAGTGTACATTTGCTGGTCTTCATAGATTCAGGCTATACGGGGGAGGTCTTTGTGCATTTTTCGTTTTGACCACGTCGTGCTGGTCTAAATGTGCCTTCCATAAGGACATCCAGACCCCCCCCCCCCCTGCAGTCATTAAGGATGGATACCAATCGATGTGCGTGGGGTGGGTAATAATGAAACGTAAATTTGAAATGTACTTCCAATACGACTCTTGATCCGATCAACAGTGGTTTGTTTTTAAATAATTTGCCGAGCCATTTGTTCTGCCTTTTACATTCTCAATTCAATTGAGCGTTTCGCTGTTGCCTACTGCCAACTGCGATGCATTACCTGATGACAAATTGGATCGTGTGGCTTTGTTATTTATTATGCAATGGGGGTTGTGGCTGTTTGCAAGCTGCACTGATCCTGTGTCAATTCTAATTTCCGGCCGATGTAGAAAATAATATCAATATCCAAGTGAAATGGTCATGCTTCGCCTTGGTCTGGCCCCTGCTGGATGTAAGGTCCCGCATCATGCCGTAGTCACATACATTATTGTGTTTTTTGTCTGCCAGTTAGGATTGGGTTTCCCTCCACATTTTAGAATCGACATGCGTTTCGAGTATTTGGGCTGCTATACATTTCCACATAATTGGGCCTCTTAAGCTTTACCTGGTAAAATAGTGATGTTTTTTAATCATTCGCCTTCTCTCCCAAGGGCAAGGCTGTAGCCTCTGGGGCCATCTGCAGGAAAAATAAAAATGTTGAGGCTGGTATTTTTTTTAAAGGGTCCCTGTTGGGATTGTGGGATTACGCAGCAAACCAGGCAGCAATAGCTGCATCATGCAATTTGATTAATCAACATTTACCAAACATGGTGAATTGCTGGTAAATGACGTGCCTGGGTGGTGGTGGGGGGGGGCACACATGTAGGCAAATGTGAGCCTCCCGGGACAGACGTCCCGTATTTCAAAAGTGCATACAGCAGGGAAATGCATAGTGGAATGCAGCCAGTGATGTAATCGTGACTTCATACGCAGACGGAGTGAAAGACAATTCTTGCTCCAAAAGCACAGCGGCTGCATTTATCGGGATTTAATCTCCGCGATGGCCATCTCTGATCTCTCTTGAGCAAAAAGCGGCTTCAATCCTGGGGTCTCTGCCGGCGCACAAAGCCGGACGAAAATGCTGGCACGGAAATAATGAAACTTTTTTTTAATTATATTTACAGTCAAAAGTTTGTAATCCACGCGTGCAGTTTTACGGCTCTGGTGTGGCTATATCCTGGCCGAATTAGATAAACACAAAGGCGTTTTGATGAAGCGGAGTTTTGTTTTGTAACTAGGAACAATGGAAGCTGTAATCGCTTCCAAAATCGTTATGGAGGGGGGATGGGGGGAGACGGCGCTGAACGGCGCTCGTTGATTTGGGTCTAATTCGAGCGAGTCGATCAAGTAAAGAGCGTTGTGGTTGAGCAATGTGAGACGGTTAATTTACGAGGTTGTTGTAGCGGTTTTCTATTTTAAGAAAAGCAGAGTTCCTCCTGTGCTCACCGTGTATTCATGGAGATGGGAGTTTGTGTTTCTCATTTCTAACCGTTTGCTACAAAGTGGTTGCCACTGTCGATACTATCGTACACATCTGCAATACGGCGCGTGATCTGTTTCTGCACAAGATCGTGATTGTCGTCGGTCATTGTTTTGGAGAAATACAAATCTAGAATTATTTTAAATTTATTAAACACTCCAGTTTAACGTTGTCTACACGGCTGCCATAAATTAAATTACTGCTTTGTGTAGAATCGCTTTTCAGAGGTTGTGACGGTGATTGTGTGGCGCTATCAATTCAGTTTAATGTCACTGAATACGTGCTTGTGGCTTTGAGAAAAAAAAAACTCGCGTTTGTAAAGTTCACGATCAGAAATGTGGCAGTCGAGGTTGTTTAGTGAGAAGCCCCTCGTGGTGGCTGCTGGAGTTTCCCAACGGTCGTTTTACCGAGCCACGAGACCACAATGCGCCCTTTGCTCTCCAAAATCATCCTACTGACTGAGGGGGCCAGGAGGTGCGGTGGGTTTCAGGGAGGGGGGGGGGGGGAAGAGGGCGCGCAACGCTTGTTCATCGTGCGACATCGTGGATGGGCACCTGTCGAATCTTATCACACCTCGTGCGTGAGGCCCGACGTCGCAAGTTCGACTCTGGTTCTACGGTGCAAAAGCAACCTTCGTGGTTGGCCTCCATTTGAAGCCCCTAGCTGGTTTTTGGCACGGGCTCTCGGAGCGGGGGATCCGCTTGTGAAGTCGGAGGAGGTGGAAAGGAGAAGAGACGGTGAGAGAGCGAGGGAAAAGGGGACACCTTTGCGGGTGTGTGTCTGCCCGTAGGCTCAGTACTACGGCACGGTTTGGATTGGGACTCCGCCGCAACCGTTCGGCGTGGTGTTCGACACCGGCTCGTCCAACACGTGGGTGCCCTCGGCGCGATGCGCGTCCACCAACTACGCCTGCTGTGAGTTACCCCCCCTCCCCCCCCCCCCCCCCCCACGTCCACCTACTCCCTAACTCCACCACCACCACGTCGGGATGACTCGTTCGCTTGCACCTCCCCAATGAGTCGCTTCATTTGTGCGTTTGCTTCTGGTGTCGTTAATGCTTTTGATAATTGTTGTGTTCGTTCAGGCCTCGCAGCTCCCCAGACGTGTGGTTATGCCATTGTTAGATGCACGGATGGAGGTGGGGTTTTGCCGTAAAGGGGCTTTTAACAATTGAGAGGATTTGAGAATGCAAATTGTTGTCGATTCGGGGATGAAATTACTTTAATAAAAGGCTTGCGTGCCTAAAAGGGTTTCCAGATGGATAACACAGTTCATAGCGAATTCGATTCATGGGTCAAGGTTTTTTTCCCATTCCCAGATAAAATAATTTGCTGGTTATCGGGTTGATGGACAATATAAATTAAGAGTTCGTGGTTAACATTAATCGTGAGGAACACAAATTATCACGGAGTTTCTTGGTTGAGCAGATGATTAACTAAATTATTTTCATAGAATTATGGATGAGGCATTTAACTGCAGATAAAGGCATGCATACCTCCTGGCTGTCATGATTTTGAACCTACTGTTTCGAGCCACGCATGTGTATTTTGAGTGCACAAGAACCTGATTGGTTGCCAGGCTCTTACGGGCAGGGCTATCATTGTGACATGGGACCGGTTGTAAAATGTCCCTCTCCTAGGTGATTGGCCGTTGGTCAGTGCAGAATATAGCCACTATTTTTGCCGAGTGAAAGTGTGCCAACATTTATTTGAAGGCATAATATCCAGAAATTCCACAAGTTTCTGGGAAGACTTAAGAAGTGAGCACAGTACTTCAATCGGGCCATGGTATTTTAAATAATGCTAATGGTGCGGTCGCAAAAGCCGCAAAATAAAATGCCAACGCTCCCCCCCCACCCCCCTTGGAATCTACTCCTACAATCGGTAAGATGAGGACCACTTTGTGGCACATTCATTTTGGTGGTTGTCCCACGACCGTTACAATTCCACCAGCAGCAGCACCATACAATTGGACACCATCACCACGGCCGTCGGTACAATCGCCAGCACCAAAACCAGCAACACCATTGCAAGGCACATGTGCCACCAACAACAACCGTCATTCGCCACTAAGTAGTGGTGACGTCACCACGATGCTTGTGCCAGGCTATGTGCACGTTTAGGCCACGTGAAGTGTCGAACGCCCGCTGGTAGGAGGTCACGAGGCAGACCCAGGTGCCCACGGGTCGACTGACCGAGATGACTGGCTGATGCACCACCTGTGCCAACTTTTGCTGCGTTTTCGCTGCCCGGCGCGCACCGCTCATTGCGAGCGTCGCTCCTCTGCCCTCTTGTTGTTGGAGGGCGACTGCCTCCAACTGCCCGGTAGCGTCCTTCACGAGCCTCCTCCACAGAGGCCGATCTTGTCACCGCTGGGTACCAGTCATCGGCAAATCCACTTGTACTCTTTGGTTCTTTCGGTAAAGTCACGTAGCTATACCTATGTGCCTTTTACCAAAATAACCAAAGAGTATGGCTTCCTGAAGTCACGAAAGCTTCGAATCAAAGTCCACTCGTATTTTTCACTTGCTCTCTACCCGTTGCCTTCCCGTCCACCGCTGCTCCGATCTCTTCCCCCCCCCCCCCCCCTCCAAGTGAACCACAGGAGGTACGACGCCTCTCGCTCGAGCAGCTACGCTCCGAACGGCACCCTCTTCCATCTGCACTACGGCACGGGCAGCCTCAGCGGCTTCCTCAGCAGCGACACTATCACGGTAGACGCGCGCGCACGCGATTATCTGAACCTGTCCTGGGGCCTCTCCTAGGTCGACTCGGCCTCAATTAGTACCTGTGTGAGATGGTGTGAACATCGCCACCTTGGGGAGACGAAGGCGGCCGGGCGTCTTGCTGGTCTCCCGCTCCGGTGTGATGTGCTGGCCTTAATAGATAGATGCTCGCTAACAGCACTTGCCCCAACACGCTTGTAAGGCTATACGGGGGATATTTGTCCTTGTAGTATTGGGTGGCGAGTTTCACTGGGTGGCTCTTGAGTGAATGCATGTCTGTGCGTGTTTTCTTTGTGTTCGGGCTTTTGGTGTGGTGGGTGCGTGTCTGCGCGTTCGCGAACTTTTGGTGTGTAAGTGAGCGCGTATGCACCCAGCAACTTTTTTATGGTTCTAAACATCAACGTGATTTTATGTTTGTGCCAAATTGTAAGATGTACTTCACCCAACTCCCACCCCCCCTTTTTTATTTTCTTCAAAACTCAATGTGCATGCAGCATTTGAATGCAACAGCCTCTCGTGACCGTTCAAAACAGTGGGTGATGTGTGAATCATTGGCAGATGAGGTATATTTAGTTATTTTACAGAGGGGCGGGGGGGGGGAAATGGGGTACCGGCAATAAATAGAGGTGGCGTTCCCCGTGGACTTGGACTAGGAGCAGGGAGACCACAGCATGGATGGCTTGGAAACGGACGTCCCAGATTGTCAGTGTGAGTGGGGCGGCACAGGCGCAGCAGTGGAGAAAAGAAGCAACTGCCACCACATGTGTGAGAATATTTTTGTCTGTACTTAATTTCTAACAGTGAATAAACGTCCCAGCCAGGCAGTGCCGTTTTGTTCTAGTTCGACTGACAATTGGAAGGTTGTGTGCTTGCAAGCGTGTGTGTGGGAGAACATTGACACTTCCTCCTTAAAGGTTCAAGCGTGACCAAAAGAGAAATGTGATTTTGTCCTTTGCACATTCCAATGGTCGTGGATGTTCTGGCTCCAAATGAGACCGCGACCGTCGGCTAGTCTCTCGCGGCCAATAACAATAGAAGCTCTAACACGTGTTTTGTCGACTTGTTAGTGGAGATGAAGTGCGCACTAGAGGAGGTGGCCTTGCTGGCTGCTTGCTGACGAATGACTACAGCAAGGATGCTGAACCAGCACTGCTGAGGGCCCTGGGTTTTGAGTCGAGTTTCGGGCCACCAGTAATTAAACCCGGCAGGCTTATGTGTAGCGAGTTGATGGGGGGTCATCTCTGTCGCTGCTGACTGCATTGGACGCCTCGCATTTCACGTCCCTTGGTTTGGTTATATTCTATTTTGGTTCGACTCACCTGGTAATGAAAAATTCTTTGCAGGGCAGATGAAAGGTGTGCCCCGCACCTCCGTCTACCCCCCCCCCCCACCCCCAAGCCACGCATGATTAAACCAGGTTGTCATGTTTAACCGAGGTAATGACTATCGCCACTGATTGCACGGACCGTACACACTACGATCGCTGCGTACGATGCACTTGTTTTGCAAGCTCGGACGTGAGGGACAGCCGCAGTTTCAACTTATTAGGGAGCCATGGGCACTCTTAAATCTACATTGACAATCTAATTTATTTAGAGCTACTTGTTGTTTTTTAGTTTTTGCCCCCCCCCCCCCCCGTACCTCCGATTTATCACGGTTAGCTACGTATGGTACGAAAGAAGTTCAACATAAATTAAGTGTCTACACTATGGGAACCTCATTTGCCAGTAAAAATATGATAATTGGTTCTTTACCCTTCTATCTGGCAACAAAACTGACACCTTTTGACAAGGAGTCATGTTTGCATAGACCGTTTGTATTATTGTTTGTATTATGACTGCAGGTATTGCGGTCTATGCAAACATGACTCCTTGTAAAAAGGTGTCAGTTTTGTTGCCAGATAGAAGGGTAAAGAACCAATTATCATAAATTAAGTGGTCGTTTTTTAGTGGTGGCGAGGTCGCTCTCTGAGCCGGTTCGGTTCATTCATGTATTAGGTATAGCCCTGTGAGCCATAGGGCTCTTGAATCGGGTGCAACCGCAACAAAAAAAAAACATCTTAAAGTGACTACACGCAACAGAAAAATTCGAAAAAACGGCAAAGTCTTCCAGAAAAAGCACCGTATATTAACGTTAAACGAGTCAACTTGACACAGTGGTGCACTGCTCTCTTGCAAGTGTTTGAACTGAAAATGCATGCGTTCTCATGACGTGATGCCCAGGGCACAATTGGAATGTTTGGCGAAATGAAAAGCACAAAGCACGGAACTATGGCATTTTGTTGGCTTTGAGCTCTTGCTGGTTTGCCAAGTTATATTTTGAAAGCTGATCAACTGGCAACCATGCCTGCTAATCGTCAACGGGGGGCATATTTAGTTTTCCTTGGTTATTTTCTGATTTTGCTGGTCGACTGCAATGTGCGTCGCAGCGAGAGGCATACACTGGATGTTAGGGCTGCCGGGTGGGCAAGCGTTTTCCACGTCACTGACGAGAGACAGCCCTGGCTAAAACCGAATCTCCGATTACCCGCAATGGCCGAATCTCGCTGCTGGATGAAGGTTTCGCCACGCCTCCTGCCACGTCCCTCGTGGCCCTGTCGCGCCTCCCACGCCATCTCGCTTCGACGCACGGAGCTCCTCTCGCACGATGATCGCCCTCGCTTGGCGTGTCTCCAATAGGCGGGGTGGAGGGGGGTACTACTTGAAATCTCCCATTTGCGGGGGGGGGGGGGCACCAATAACACATTTCCTGCGGAGGGAGCTGGTAGGAACGGTTGGGTTGCTCGGTCAATGGACAGGGTCAACGGCGGCGTGGTGTATTCTGCATTATATGCCCGACTGACGGTGGGCACAAGCCGGCGTGAGTAGGTTAAACGTTGAGTTTTATAAGGGCACCACGGGGTGACGAGGCCCTCCCCACCCAACCCCTCCATGCACGACGGACACAATAATCCCCTGTGGGCTGGTGGAACCAGTGGGTTCCTACCAGTAATATAATTGCTACATACTTTATACACGCCCTCGATATGGTGCTATAGAAATGGAGACTTGATTGATCGGTTGTGGTTAAACGAGTTTGGATGGTCGCGCAATCCCTCGTGTGGCGGCGCTGGTGGTGCACGCAATCGCTGGAGAAAGGAGGTTGGTGGATCACCACTGGGATTGCGTGTTTTCTGTGTATGCAGTGAATTGGTGTCCTGTCCGAGACGGTAGAGAAAGTAGATTGCCGATGACCGCAATGGGTACGCAAAATTGCCACGTAAGAAAGCAGAGGGAGTGGGTATGTGGTGTGGCAGTTGAGTTTTTAATAATTGCAGTACAGCAAGGTGGGTTAATTTTTTTCCCAAGAACAAGTCGTCTAGGATGCACCTGATCTCACCAGATGGGCAACATTTTAATCTTTGCACGTTGTTGAAATGTTTTGTTTAATTCTGCTAAGCCAGGAAAGCCTCCCGAGTCTCATGACTCTTCGGCAGGAGGGGCCTGCTAAGTTCTTGTGCGTTTTCAGTTGATTTGTTTCGATGATGATCTCGTTTAACCGGTTGCCCGGCGATTTTTACACTGCTAATCCGTCGTACTGCGTGAGCACAGCCGTAGCAAACAGACGCAAAACATCAATATTATAATAACAACCTTGCTCGTACGAATCTCGAAGCCTCTTCGATCTTGAGCGATTACACCCTCCAATAGAGCAGTCGTTTTGGAGCATGAACCTTGGGCGAGAGCCTCCAAAGACTCCAGATTCTCGACACGTGACGTACTCCCCCCCCCCCATCACAGCCCCCCCACGTTTATCCTGAAGCATTTATCGTGACCTCAGAATATTGTCACCCCAAATGTCAAGCGACCACGCATTAAGGGTGTTCCCCCACCCACTCCTTTCCTGCGACAGGCCGTGTGTAAACGAGCACTTTTTAGTTGTTTTGCTATGGAATCTTCCTCCTGGGCGGCTGCTGCTGGCTTTTGGCTCTCCGTCAAACAGACGGGTTTCCACATCGCGCGCTTTCGGGTGCGCTTCTGGGGCCGTCTGGAACGCGCTCTTCCTTCCGATATTAGGAAGCCACTAGCGGCTACATGCTTTAATATCTAGATTGACAACTCATTTTTTCGCACTGCTTTGCGTGGTTTTTAATTTGATCCTTCCTCCGCACCTCCCGATTATCACGGTTGGGCTACGTATGGTGCGAAAAAAGTTTATACAAATGAGGACTTGCGGCTCGGAGCCAGGCTGGTCTTCCTGCTGCTCCCACGAGCAATTTGGATAGCCTTTGACTCTGGTCAGCCCTTGAGCAAATGACCTCAAGTTCCACGTTCGTGATGTTTGTTTATATAAATCGATGGGATGAGTTCCATTGACGTTTAGTTTCATTTGCCCGTGGTGCGGGTGATTAATTGTGGTGCTCACGTGGGGGAGTAGTTGTTGGTGGTGCAGTGGTTCGTGTACTGCTCTGAACCCCGGCTACCAGAGTTTAGACGTTCCAGGTCTCGCGGCCATCATCGGTGGCGAATGATGTTTGAACCGGTTCTCGACCCCCGTTTTTGCATTGGAAACGATTACTTGCCGGACGAGATCCAGAAGCGATGGGAGCGGAAAGTGGCTGAGTTTGCACACGACTGGACCAATTCGTATCTGTAGTGGGGAGCGGTGGTTCAGTGGTTGGCGCACTGCGCTACGAACCCAGAGTTAGATTCCCGCTCGCAACCAAATAACGGTGAGGAATGTCTGAACTCTGACTCCCCAACATTGACTCTGCCTTTATAAACATCAGCACTTGGAAGGAAGACGAAGGCAGCCGGGTGTCGTGTTGCCCCCCCCCCCCCCCCCCCTCGTCAGTCGTGCCGGCCTTCATAGATGCTGCTCGCTCAGCATTTGCCCCAAATAATCTGTTAACGCTACACGGGGGATATTCATCTTGCGTTTGTTTTATGATGTCTTTTCATAACACCAAGACATTCAATTTAACAACCTGTAACTTTTACATGTAGCCAATTTGTGAACGCGCAAGGTGTCTCTAAGCTAACATCGTCTTAAATTTAGATTTAAAACTTTTGACTGCAGAAATTCATTTTCTGGGTTCTTTCGGTAAAGTCACGTCGATATAAAAAAATGATAAAATAAAAACTATTTTATATTCTATCTACGCGACTTCATCAAAAGAACCAAGAATAGTATAACGTCTTCTTGCTTTAGGCTTTTATTGGATGTCTGTGGTGGGGGGGGGGGGGAAGGGCTTAATAGCTCATCGGACTCCTCCCGTAAAATCAATGTTGTGGAACGTGTCTACTCAAGAGGTTCTCCTTAATCCACGACTGAACGCGTTGTCTTTACGAAGCGAGGCTGATGTCTATTGGTCTCGCACGCTCACCCCTGCTACCACCACCTCCGTGTGGACCCCAGACTGATGTTGACGATGGGGGCGGTGTCTATGGGTCGCCATCTGGTGTCCGATTTGAATATCCCCTTGGTTCTTTCGGTAAAGTCACGTAGAAGGAAAATAATAAAAATAAAACATAATTATTTTATTATGTTTTAATAATAAAAGAATAAAAATAAAACCATAATAAAATAATAATGTTTTACTTTTATTATTTTATTATTTTCCTTGTACGTGATTTTTACCGAAAGAACCAAGAGGATGAATCCCTGCAGTCACGAAAGCTTTAAATCGAAGATTTGAATATTGTTCACAGAAATATACCCCCCCCCCCCCATCCGATACGCCCTCTAAATACCCGGGAGGTGATACAAAGGTGGAAACGGACTTGAAGCCATGGCCGCAGTGTGTGTGTGGGGGGGGGGGGGTGCAATGCCCCCCAAACTGCACACGTTTTAAATTATTTTCGATAATTTACAATTAACATTAGGAATCGCGGGTGCATAATTTTAATAAGGGATAACGCGAACCCCTCCCTGTACCCCCCCCCCCTCAAATTAAAACTTCACCTTTTTGCTTGAAGTCATTAGTGCCGTGGTGTAACTTCTGCAGGCCCCGTGAGGTTTTGTCGAGACCTTCATCCAGCAGTGGATGGATCACTGCTAACGACGATCGCTGCCCCCCCCCCGCTCCGCTCCAGGTGGGCGAGCTGAGCGTGCCGGGCCAGGTGTTTGGCGAGGCCGTCCTGGAACCTGGCCTCACCTTCCTCCTGGCCAAGTTCGACGGCATCGTGGGACTCGGCTACCCCAACCTCGCCGTCACGGGGGCGACGCCGCTCTTCGACTCCATCATGCAGCAGAAGCGTTTACCACGCAACGCATTCTCCTTCTACCTCAACCGGTATCGCGTCTTGCCCTCACCCCCCCCCCCCCCTGCTTATTTTTTACTGTTCCAGCCCTCGTCTTTGTTATATATTCGGGGTGCTTCAAAAAAAAGTTAATACTTTCCGAGATTTTTACAACAACGCCACGAGAAATGTGGCCTCTCTGGGGCTCTGGAGACGATTCCAATGTTTTTGACTGATGGCGAGTAAGTGGAGACGCTTTGTTTGACTTTTTGACGCTGTTAACATACATTTTGTTGGTGTGTTTATCCGTTTTATTTTTCCATTAAGTGTTAAACAAACAATTGACGCACCCTGTGTATACACTTTCTCCCAATGTAATCTTCACTTATGAAAAATAGGAATCGGGTTTACCACTTTTCTGGCAATTGACCATTTACGTTTTATTTTTACCAGGTAAAGCAACCTGGTCACTAGTCAAACGAAGTGTTTTATGTGGATATTTATAGCAGCCAAATACTGTAACCGCATCTTTCTCAAATGTGAAGGGGAAAAACCTACCTGGAGAAAGATAAATTAAACCTGCTATTAATGGTCAAATCTAAACCTATTGCAAGTCTGCTGTATTGTCCACAATGACCAAATACATATCGTTGGATGTCTGTATATATATTGCACTTTTGTACTGTACGTAGCCAACCATGCCAATCGGAGGTACGGGGAAAGGACAAAAACACAACGCATAAGCTGTTCTAAAGAAATTCGTTTTCAATCTAGACTCAAAAATTCATAGCTCCAGTGGCTTCCGAACATCGGAAGGAACGTTCCAGACGGCCTCTAGAAGCCCATCTGAAGTGACCCATCTTTGTTCAACGGTAAACCAAAAGCTGCTGCTGTGTGAGGGTGACCGGCGATCACGTGCTGGTTTATGTTCCTTAACGAGATCGTAGTTACCGGTTAAGCCACCTCGGGGTGGTACCGACCGACCCAAGTGAAGTTGACACCTTGTCCGAGCTCGTGGACTGCAACGGTAATCTCCAACGTCTGTCCTGCAGGGACCAGGACTCGCAACCGGGCGGGGAACTCTTGCTGGGAGGCAGCGATCCTCGCTACTACACCGGCGAGTTCCACTACCTGCCCCTCACCGTAAAGCACTACTGGCAGATCACGATGGACGGGTGAGTCGTGTGCGTGCGTAAACATCGCCACCTAGGGAGACTAAGGCGGCTGGGCGTGGCGCTGGCTGCCCCAACCCCCACCCCCTCGTGTTCTCATCCGACCGTCAAATGTGTCTCGCTAACAGCACTTGCTCCAACAGTCTAAGGCTACACAGGGCATCTTTGTTTTTGTCTTTGTGCGTGCGGCAAAAGTTGCTTTCTGTATTCGAGGCAATCGGGCAAGTGGATATATTTAGGGTGCTGTAAAGACATTTTTGGAGGACGATGTTCATAAAATAGAGATTTATTTGGTAATAATTGTGTGCTTTTTAAAAATATCAAATACATGTCCCCACGAAAGAGCGCGAGGTCGCCACGAGCATAACTTGACACGTGGTGAACCGATGTGTCCCAGGGGCACTGCTTCATCAATTGCATCCGTCGGTCTACCACGTGCTATGCGAGTGGGTGGGTTCATCCCCTCGCGCGCTGAGCGGCTTTGGCCCTGTTAACCCGAGCCACATGTGCTACTCGGCCATGTCTACATGAGTAATTACTCAAATTAGTCTTTCACCCATGCCCTTGTATATCGCCTTTTTTTAAAAATAAGAAAAACATGCTACCCAATTGCGTTTTGGTGACCTGAGACACGAAGTATCCATTTGGGTGTGGAACGGATAGCTGTGCAAACCCTTCGTGTAGAACGGAAAGCCCCAGGAACCTCCTGAATTTCCTTCAAGGGACTACCTGGTTAGCACGGCAGGGGGCAGCACTTCACAGCCGCTTTTGGCACAGGCATTACGACAACACTTCTGCGGAGGGAGCTGGTAGCATGTTTTTCACACATTTATAAATAACGCGATCTGACCCAAAATCTATTATGAATAATATTGGTCGCGAAAGCCTACGTGTTCAAATTGAGCTGGTAGGAACGTTGGGTTGCTCGGTCAATGGCCAGGGTCAACGGCGGCGTGGTGTATTCCGCAAATATGGCCGACCTGAGGGCGGGCACAAGCCGGCGTGAGTAGGTTAAACGTTGAGTTTTATAAGGGCACCACGGGGTGACCAGCCCCTCCCCACCCCTCCCATTTTTGGATGCACGACGGACGATAATCCCATTTGTAACCAGGAGGTTCCTACCAGTATGACGTTGCCAATGGTAGAACGCGCACGAATTTTCACGGACATGACCTTGACCTACGCGCGGGATGGCGAACTGCCATGGAGAAACGATGTCCCAGCAGTGGTGGGTCTTGGCCCTTGGTATAGAGAGAGGAGGTTGTGAGTCGCGCTGCTGTGGAGAGATTTGCAACGAGCTGGTGCAGGGTGACCTGGGTGAGGAAAGAGGATGCAATGAACGACCCCAAAGTAGATGCACGGGTAAGGCAAGGCCATCTCTTTTGAAGCTAACCCTGCTGGAGATGGGTAGCCAGGTGGCAGTCATGTTTATCACATAACTGTCAAACCAATGTCAGAATCAGTTTTCCAAATTAAATTGCGGAACCAAAGTAATATTTTTTTTATGTGGTGGTGGTTTTTGCGCGGCAAATAGTGTATTTGAGCTCTTCTATTTAAACTCGGTTGAACTACGCGCATTCATTGGCACCCAGGTACCAGGTGGGTGCTTTTAATGTCCCCCACACGCTGGTAATTTGATTGCTCCGTGTGAACCACACTGCAGGCAGCCACGACACCGACCCAAGTTCCCGTTGTGCAATAACATTGTGGGGTTTTCCAGTTAATGTGTCGTATAATCTTCCACCCCGATAAACTTCAATTTAGAGAATTGCCTAATGGCTGAATGTAAATAAACGTTTAAGGCTGCTCTCTGCACAACTCTTCGCAGCAACTATTAAAAGTTGTAACGGTTACATTAAGGTATTGACACTGCAGAGTGGTTGGCGTGCTGCGCTAATAACCAGGCGATCCTGGAGTTCGATGCCAGCCACGGCTAACATCAGTGGTGAGTGATTAAACCCGTTAGGTGGCCCATCCCACTCCTTCACCAACCTGCACTGACCACTGTGCTGAAATGCGTTTTTAAGAGCCCCCATGACTGACACGGATTATGGAGACCTTCATCCAGTGGTGGATGGCAATGTTAAAAATCCCTGTAATTGGCTGACTGCTATGCTTATTTCTTAATTGAAATCTGTATTTTGAAATTTTGCGGTAAGTTATCTTGCATGTTGTACATTTGTCCGTTATGCCTCTGCTTTTGCAATTTTTTGTCCACTTTACTCAATTCCTTTTGCATGCAGCATTTGTGAGGCTGCTTTTATTAATCGTTTCATCTCTCTTCACGTCCAGAAAAGTGGACTTTACGTAGTCAACCGTGCTAATCGGAGCTGGGAGAAGGCGGGGTGGGGCTGGGTGGGGAGGGGCTGGTCACCCCTTGGTGCCCTTATAAAACTCAACGTGTAACCTACTCACGCCGGCTTGTGCCCGCCCACAGTCGGCCATATTTGCGGAATACACCACGCCGCCGTTGACCCTGGCCATTGACCGAGCAACCCAACGTTCCTACCAGCTCCCTCCGCAGGAATGTGTTCCATTTTTGTCCAAACCCAGATCTGTCACAAGATGACGCCTCAACGGGGGCTCTCGCCTAAATAAAGATTCGTGAACCAAGTAGTGGTGACCTTTGTCAACCCAAGCCGACTTTGTTCCTTAGGTGGGGCGAGGTGGTAATCCCAAGAGCGTGTTCCGTGTATATCTCCATTCATTGCCATAGTGTCTCCGCTATGTTGTAATGGCTATGCACCAAATACTTGCATGCATTGATCACAACATACGGGGGGGGGCGGGGGGGTGGAAGCGGAGTCACAATGGTTAGCAAGCACACAGTGTAGCGACAATTTGTACATGTTAACCGGGCTGTGAACCCAGTTATCCGAGGAGTTCCAGCAACTGCTAACATCAGGTGGTTGAAGCTTTGCCGGAATTAATACTGGATGCCCCCCCCCCTACCTTAAACATTCTACACTGACCAGCATGGTGAAGTATGGTCACTAAACGCCCATGACTCGAGTGCATTTGGGAGGCCATTATCTAAGGGCCATGCATTTTAAGTGCTTGTACATGAATCTCTAAGTACGGACGCTCACGATGGCCTGCCTTGGAGCTATATTTTCAGACGTAAAATGTAATTTTCCTCAACTATTTTGACCCAGGACGAGATGCTGTAATTGTCTTCACAAAGGGTGCAGTTATCTGCTTGTGCAAACTCTACCAGCGGCTAATTGACGTCCCGTTGCACTCTAAATAAAAAATGTAAGTGCAAAATCAATACTGTAAATACAGTACTGTAGAGTGTTTTGTTCTCGCCACCAGTGGCTCGAGTTGACGTGACCCTAGCCAAAAACAGACGTTGTATTCTTTGCCTTGCACTATGCTGTCTGAAATAAAATTTTACGATTTTAGACCTTGTGTGGCTAATAAAGCTCCAGTTGGCTTTTTTTTGTATAGTTCAGTTGTAGTGTGCTTGTGCGAGCTGCATCCCTTTTTTAAATGTAAGAAGGGATGGCACGCAGTGGAGACGAATGTGACATCGTCGGCTAAAGGAGAGAACGTGCCCAAGGAGGGGGGACGACTTTCACAAACGGGATGGGAGAGATGGAATTGGTTTCGTGTGCAGGTGCTTGGTGGATGTCTCGTGGCTTGAAGAGGCCTTCATTGGTCATGGCTGCTGATGGAGATTACAGTTTGTGGCCTGCTTGATGCCTGGCGATGGAGTTGTGGCTTTGGGTTGTATTATCTGGTATGTGTGTACTTCAGTGTAAATCGTGTTTTTGTTGCTACAGTTACTAGTGGAATGTGGCGCAGCAGTTGCCCCTCGGTGGGTTGGAAGGGGAAGGTGCCTGAATGTGGGTTTGGCCACGGTACCCTCTACCTCAATCCGTTGCCATGACAACCTTTTTTAATAGGTGCTCTCTAACAGCATTTGTCCCAACAGCGTTTTTAAAGGGCCCGTCTTTTGTTGTCATGTGGTGGAGGATATCCGTGGTGGGCGGACCGTCTCTGTGCGTCGGTGGGTGTCCGGCCATCGTCGACACGGGCACCTCCGTCATCGCGGGGCCTTCTGCCGCCCTGCGGATCCTGCAGGTGGCCATCGGGGCCACAGCCTTGCCCTGGGGACAGGTGAGTGACTTGAAACAAACACAACTCCCTCTTTTTTACCAGGTAAGGCCCACTTTTATATAGCGCTCTTTCAAAAGCGACCTCGCCGCAAATGATGGCTCGACGAAGTGACTCGTCGTGTAAATTTATAGCGGTCACATACTCGAACCGAAGGAACGGGCGGAAAAAATCCACGTCCACGGAGAACATGCAAATTCCTAATACACCGCGACCACCATATTTTGAGGCCCAACATTGACACGAGCGTAAGCTGGAAGCAACCCCCCCCCCCCCCCTCGTATCGGCCACATTCACTCTTACTCCATAATCAGCACATTTCCGCTGACATTATGCACTGTTCTCTAAAGCGTACAGCCGATGTAATACTATAGCTTGTGTGTAATACAACCTACAATCAAGAAATCGTAGTTTTTTATTGAGAGCTGTTTTGGGATGTTGCATCGAGTCATCTCGACTCGTGTCTTCATCTTGACCACCACAAACCTTGGTGGCCTCAACAAAGGTGTTCTCAAAAATGTGAGCTTTTCAGTCTTTACGACAAAGGGCACGATGTGGGTGTGTTTTTGTGATCTTCAGTATTCTATTGACTGCCGGGCGATTCCCACGCTCCCCGACATCGTGCTGACACTGGGAGGAAAGCCGTACCACCTGTCTGGGAAGCAATACGTGATCGTGGTAGGTGGCTCGCTCGATGAATGATATGACGATGAAACGTTCTTTTGTCTTCAAATCCAATTAAGCTTTTTATCCATACTCGTAGGTTTTTTCGGTAAAGTCACGTAGGTAAAAAATGAAATAAAAATGTATAAAAGTAATAATAGAAATAAAATAATAAAAAATCACGACGTTTCGGAGGCAACACAAGTCTCCGTCATCAGGTGGGACCGTCACCGCTAGATTTGCTGTATCAAGTGAGTCCATTTTATCCATAGTCATGGGATTATAAATTTATTCCAGCCAGTCTCGGTCCACTAATGGAGTTAGGCCTCTGCCATACTGTACTTGGCTGTGCTGGTCTGGTGAGTTGGTTAAGTTGGAAGGGTCCTGTTCTGATCACCATCCGCGCTGGCTCGCAACTGTTGTCACCACTACAACTCTGAAAGCAATGAATCCCCCCCCCACCTCCCCCGCTCTTGCCTGACACAGGACAAGACGGTGGAGGGCACACTCTGCCTGCTCGGGTTCATGGTGATGGACGTTCCCAGCTCCGAAGGACCGCTCTGGATCCTCGGCGACGTGTTCATTGGAAAGTTCTACACCGAGTTCGACCGCGATCACGACCGCGTGGGGTTTGCCCATGCGGTGTGAAGGAGAGGTCCATGGCTGGCCGTAGCGCCAGACAAATGTTTGTAGAAAATGAGTGGCCGATTTTAGTTGGGTATCGGTGTTGTGAAGGTGGCGATATGGCATGCATCCTGCCCTGAGCTAACCGCTCCGTTCCGACTTCTGCGATGTTTAAATATTTTGAGGGCGGTGTTGGCAGTGGCGCAGGAACACAATGAACAAAACTCCTCCAAAAAACGCATTTGTCAACACTGCTTGATTTTTTTTCTTCCCATTTTGTGTCTTATGATTGACGAAGCTAAGCTGATGGGTTGGTAGCGATGATGGAGTCTGAAGAAGGTGATTTTGGCGGTGGGTGCGATTCTGCTTGGTGATTTTTTTTGTCTTTGATACTGCAATGAGGATGAAAGTGAGGGGTGGTAGAGTAGACCCCTTGGTAGCAGGTGTGCTAATATCCACAGCGGTGTGCTTGTGTTATAAGTGCTCCATGTCTCCCTTGTTGAGGATAATGGTTGTGAATTAAGGCTTATTGGCTTGTTGCCTTCCATCTTACCTATAACCAAGATGTCCTCGGCATTCAAAGCCTTAATACGTGTGTAAATGTGTGTTTATATATGTTATTTAAAGTAACGTGATTTTGTTTCATCTGCCAGCACATCGTGTAAATTATGCACAGTAAGGTTAATGTCGTGGTTATGTTTTGGATTGTTTTTTGACTGACAATAAAACTTTACTCAATGAAATGAAGACCTAAAGCTTTTGTTACTGCAAGAATTCATATTCTTTGTCCTTTCGGTAAAGTCGCGTAGATAAAACAATCTATGCGACGTTACCGAAAGACCCAAATGATGCGAAATGAAATGGTTGCAGCATTCGGTTCTTACCAATGAACAAGACTGGATTACAATGGCAATAAGGCCCTGGAAAGGGGGTTGGTGCCGCACTAGAATGGCGAAGAATGGTTGCACATTCCTGCGGAGGGAGCTGGTAGGAACGTTGGGTTGCTCGGTCAATGGCCAGGGTCAACGGCGGCGTGGTGTATTCCGCAAATATGCCAGACTGAGGGCTGGCACAAGCCGGTGTGAGTAGGTTAAACGTTGAGTTTTTTTATAAGGGCACCACGGGGTGAGCAGCCCCTCCCTGCACGACGGACACTAATCCCCTGTGGGCTGGTGTAACCAGGAGGTTCCTACCAGTACAAAACGGCTGACTGACGTGCCGTTCCCGAGGCCTTCGGCAATGGCAGTGACGTAAGGGCTGAGACCTTTATAATACTGGACTGAAGAAGTATGGCAAACGGGTCGGCATTTTAACGTTTGTGAGTGCAACGGCCTTATTGACCAAACTTCAATTTACTGAGTCGGCCACCCCATCAAACATGTTTAAATGACAAGGTAAACCCATCCTAACGGGGGGGAACCCGTACTGTTTTGCATCATGCAAAGACTATCAACCGTTCCTGAACTATTGTTTTTTACCTCCAATTTTTGATGGGGTAACGGTGGTAACTTTAACCCAAATGGGGCTTCGGTTTCCGGAAGAAATAACATCCCCAGACAAAACGTACACGATTATAAAGCCTGAGAACACTATGCGTAGTTCTATAGATTTCGGTGATCTCTCCCGAGCATATCATGGAGGTTTAAACAAAAGAAAGTGAATTGCAAGTAGACATTATCCCCTCCCCAGCAGAATCAACCATGGTCAATACTCCACTGCTTGATGAATCCTTCAAGCCACTGTCAACTCTATCGATCCTGAGACGTTGGTAATTCACCTCGCACAAGGAACGGATTCCATCGCTCCATCTCCGCTACGGAAATTGTCTCAAACGCGTTCCGTTCCTAGGCGACCTGTCATTATTTATAATGCTTGGTCATAATTCCTTCTGGATAATTTGAATGATGCCATTAACCTCGTGTTCTCTCACCAGTTTCGTCTGTCAATGCAATTTGTAACACCTCGAATTGTGTACATCTTAACAGTAACTCTTTATCTCAGGTGCTATTCTATATATATACAAAATCCTTATCCACGTGAATTTGTGATAACTTATCTGCAACATATCCACAGATATTGGGATCCACAGATAATGGGAGTCATGGATAATCCTGTCAAATGCAATCGATTAATCTACTTTATTAATCCGTGGAGTGCTGCACTAACCACGACTTAAGCAATGAGACGTTATTGATTAGTGCGGTATTTCATTACTCGGTTAGGTGTGCTGAAACCGATCCAGACGTTAATCGATAAATCGATGTACAGCAGTATATAGCAATGCTGCACTGACCCCGATTAAGGCATCCACTTCAATCAATTGAGCAATGTTTGCGATTAATCGACTGCGATGCTACAATGACGCAGCCTTAGGAATGAAACGTAACCGTTCAATACAATGCATTAATCGATCCAGTGCTGCACCGCGCCGGTTTGAGCAATCCGACGTAATCGATTATCACGCTATTTATTCGATTTAATCGGCTAGAAGTGCTTCACGGAGCCGGCGTTGAGAGATATACTTTTTTGCATTTTTAAATCGAATAATCATCAATGAATAATTTTAATTCCGTTAATCGATATCAATGACGGAATGTTGTCGGCGTCTGACGTATCCATCCTCAGCGGCGCGTGACGTCGTCGCCATCCCCGAGGCGCATGACGTCACGCCACTCGGCGCGCGCGCGACGTCACCGCCGAAACGTCGTCGCCCTCCCCGAGGCGCATGACGTCACGCCACTCGGCGCGCGCGCGCGTGACGTCACCGCTGAAACGTCGTAGCCCTCCCCGAGGCGCATGACGTCACGCCGCTCGGCGCGCGCGCGCGCGACGTCACCGCCGAAACGTCGTCGCCCTCCCCGAGGCGCATGACGTCACGCCACTCGGCGCGCGTGACGTCACCTCCGACACGGATGACGTCACGCCACTCGGCAGAGACAGAAGGCTGTAGGCGGTTTCCAGGCGACGGCGGTCAAAATTCGCCTCAAAGAAAAAAAGAAAAACCTCAAGGAAAAAAAAAGTTTTCCCGCGGTGCCACTGAAACCTCGCGCGGACACCACTCCACTGCTTAGGCGATCTCCACGTGAACGCGGGCATCGTCCGAGGTTTACCGCCGATGAGTTTGGCGCGAGAGCCGTAGCCGCCGCCGGTTTGAGTCGCCGGGCTAACGATGGGGGGGGGCTAGGATAGGGCCTGGGCCGCTAAGTTTGTGAGCGAAGGCCTTAAGTTGTAATGAATGGTTTTGAGTTGTTGTTGCCGTTACGGTCATTAAAGTGCTTCGGTTGCTATTGCTTTTAGCAGCCTTGCGTCGTGTCAATGTCCAGCCGCGTGCTGCTTTGATGTTGTGTGGTATTAGAATTGTACGACGCAGGCAATCGCAGAGTGTGACGCTGTACTGTACTTCTATGCGCTTACTAAACTGCTATGCTCTCAGCTACTTTACCAACCCGCACTGACAAAGGCAATGACTCATAATGCTGCGCATTTGTTAGTTGTAAACGGATTTTGGAATTGTGTACCGGACCCGTCATGGCAATGTGGAATTGACACCATTGGGTTCGGGTGACTGAAGGGTATGAGTTTCTCTCGGCGCTTGTTTGAACTGGGAGACATACGAGCGTGTAGTATGCCGTATGTGGTGTGTTATCCTCGGCATTATAACGTTGAGTGACCTGTGGACATAAGCACCGGATAGCGATCACCTGATTGACACCACGGCACCATTCACACCAAACACTACTCGCCAAACACGAAGTGTTCGACAGCCGTCAAAGACACCTTAACATTGACACCTAAACACCCACCTGACGACACTTGGCCTACCATTTAGCAGTCATCAGTCACCTAACCACCGCTAGCCAGACACCACTTCGACACCTGCAATTCAAACTCGACAGACGCCGACACTCATCTGACACCTGATAGCGGTCACTCATGTAATTTGTTTACGTAACCCCCTGTAACTACTAGAGACACGTCAATGCACTCCAAATCACGACCTTAAATTGTGAGAAATAACGTTGCATTGGGTGCTAATCACAGTAGGCTTAATAGTGCACTTAAGTGCTTCCTATTTTAATCTCGTGTTCTTACCACCACGGTGCTATATATATCGTATATGTACATTGCTTTAGTACATGCCAGACAATTATGTGTGCCATTTACCACCCATAAACACGACGAATAACGGCATGCTTTTACAAGCATGCGCTGTCCAGTAAATCATGTATGGTTGCATCGATATTTATTCTGTGAAGGCTGGCTGAAATAGGAACAATTGGGAAGCAGCATTGTTTTGATACACTGTAATTTGAATAATTTGAGCATTTGCTAGGGTATGTAAAGGTCATGCCGTATGGTTCGGGGCACACCGCATTTGAAGGAAATTGCAGCCATAACCACATAGCGTATCTTGTAGATACACGACTTATCTTTCATCCCAGGCCGTCTGTAATCCGTTTTAAGCTTGATGAGAAAGTTATTGTCAAGTGAATCGGCACATTTGTCACTTCATTAACACGTTTCCATTCTCAATGAAATCGGTTTCACTAGAGTTGCTATGATGGTTTATCTGACGGTTAGTTTAAAGTAAAGTGCATTTTCTAAAAAAAATAGTTTCAAACGTATGTCACGCAGCTCAAGACATACAGCTTAGTTTCATAGCTACAATTAGATTTTTTTGTTGCATCCTCCTTTAAGTGTATATTTTCAACTTAGTTCTTCCTGGAAATGTTCCCACTGAGGGTCTCCCTGGTCCTCTGTCCACTCGTGTCTGTCCTGGGCCATCCCCCCCATCCACTCCACTGTCTTTTAGATCCTGGTTCACCACTTCTTTTCTAGGCCTGCCTCATTCTCTGCCATGGTTTTTTCCATGTTCAATTGTCAACCTAGTTCTGAGGTCATGCAAATAAATGAGAGATGCACTGTGCACATCGACTTGCTAACAGGAGTCGACTGCTTCCATTTATCCCAACTGCTTTTTTGTGTTTCGTTTGTTGTTTCTTCCCCGTAACTCCGAATAGCGCTGTTGGCTACGTACGGTGCGAAAGAAGTTCAACAACAACTGCCCCCAACAGGATTCGTAATGGTGGCCGGGGGCTACTGGGAGGCGGGCGGGCTGGCTGTGCTGGTGGCCGCCTGCTATTACAACAGCCTGCACTGCGGCTTTGTGTTCGACGACATCTCGGCGATCCGCGACAACAAAGATCTCCGGCCGTCTACGCCGCTCGTCAACCTCCTGCGCAATGACTTCTGGGGCACGCCCATGGCGGAGGTCAGCTTTCATCCCACAGTAGCTTAACAAGGGGCTGTATGTTTTTGTTGTTATTATTGGATGTACACGCGTTCTGTATCCATCTATCTACGACGGGTCGGCAACCTTTCGAATCCAGAGCCGCATTCGGCTCTTCAGGGACCTCTTCGTGACGTTATTTATCAACAACGGTCTGTAGATATATTGTGTTTTTTTACCGAATTTGAAAAAAACGTCTCTTGTTATTTTGGTTGTCGACCGCCTGATCTAGGAGAAGAGCCACAAGTCTTACCGACCGCTCACGGTGTTCACCTTCCGCCTGAACTACATGGTGAGCGGCCTGGATCCCGCAAGCTACCACGCAGTGAACGGCGTGCTGCACTGGCTCGTGTGCGTGCTGTACCTGCGCGCATGCCGCCTCCTGCTGAGTCCCGGTGCCAGTCGTGTCGCCGCAGCCCTGTTCGCCTTGCACCCGGTGCACACCGAGGCCGTGAGTGTTGTCCGTCTTGAGTGTTAATGCTGTGTGACCAAATCAACTGGCATTTTGCCTGTAGGGTTGAGGCAAGGATTGCGTTTGAGTGGGCGATCGCCGCACACGATGGGTTTGTTGTGCTGCTGCGGGGTTACGTGGTGGGTGATAGAGGTCGGTACCAGCAAAGTCCATTGTCGTACCGTACTTTTGTTCTCCCGTGGCTATGCGTTTCCTGCCTTCAGTCCACTCTGACCAGGGTGAAGTGTGGTAAAATAATCCCCAAACACCCATGGCGTTGGAAGGCCCCCATCCACCATTGGATTAGCATGTACATTGCTGATCAGTCTGAAAGTGAATTGTCTTAGAGACACTGGTGGAAACCATGTGAGTCTATTCGCTCAAGGCCCATCATCAGAGACTGTTTGGTCAGTCTGTTATCTAAAGTCCCTCTTTTGGAGAGGTTTGCTAATTTGCTTCAGACATTTACAATTTTCACCCAATTCTATTTTTTACAGTCATGTTGACATTTGGACACAGACCAAACAAATTTTTTTTTTTTTACATATATCACTCACATCAGAGCCACACATCACATAATGAAACATTCCAAGCATACAATTGTTGGCCTTCATGTGTCATCATTCTAGTGTGTGTATTAGATTACACTCATCTCTGGCCATACAGATGAATAACTATCTTCAAACCGTAAACAAACTTAAGTTTAACACAATCATGTACAGAGCTGTGCGCCATTCACCGGTGCATGCAGGGGTAATTTATCATGCTTATTTGCACTTAGGGCATCCTGTAGGTGGTAAACCTGCTCTGCCATGGGAACATGGAATTCCCATCTCTGGCTCAGGGCCACCATTGGAGATAAGCATTGCCCCATTGCTCATCTGAGCAGGGAGACACTTTGACTTGATTTTTACAGTGAATTTGCATTTTAATCAATAGACATAAGCACTAATCACAATGCTTGTTATTACAATAAATACATTATTTTAGTTTTAAACTGGCATGCACTTTCACTTGACTTTGTCCCCACTGCAGGTAACAGGTGTAGTGGGAAGAGCTGAGCTCCTGTCTTCCATATTCTTCCTGTCCGCCTTCCTGACCTACACCAAGTCCAAGGGACCCAAAAATTCCATTGGTAAAACAGCCCTTCTCATTTTACATCTGACCTTAAAATGTCATTCTTTTTGTTAAGGAATTTAAAATCTGAGTTATGTTTTAGAGCTTGACATGTGTTATTATTTTAAATGCATCACCTGGGTTGATTTGCTTTATTAGCTGCGGAAAGTGGCGTAAATTATGTTGAGTGTTTATCTGGTTGGAACCTCCTGGTTACACCAGCCCACAGGGGATTATTGCGTCCGTCCGTCGTGCAGGGAGGGGCTGGGTGGGGAGGGGAGGGTGGGGAAGACACTATGTGTATGTATATTGGTATCATGTACGTAGAAGTAAGGCGTGTGTGTGTGTTCCGGATGACGCTGTGCTGTGCAGTGTGGTGGCCGATCACGCTGACGGTTCTCCTCGTGGCGCTCGCCACTCTCTGCAAGGAGCAGGGTCTCACCGTCATCGGCGTCTGCTGCGTCTATGAAGTCTTCGTCGCTCAAGGCGTACGTCCAACATGTGTCCTTCTGTCCCCCTGTCTGTCTGTTAAGCGTTGCAGACTGCAGGGCCATTGGTTATGTGAACACCTCCCATCTTTATACATTTAGTGGAGTTCATATATTGTCTGCCTGTGACAAAATCAGCCAGGAATGCACCCAAGTCTTGGCAGATCTCAGAAGCTAAGCAGGTTTGAGCCTGGGTGGATAGTGCTTGGATGGGTGATCACCATGCATAAAATGAATGATAAAGGCATACTGCTAGTGGGGCTATGTTGTAGGTAGCAGAGGACATTGGTGCAAATATCTGTACCTGCGCCCACATCTATGCTCTCTCCACCTTCAAGCAGCACTGACCAGCATGGTCAAGTATGGTCAGTTGACCCACATGACCTGTAAGGTGTGAGAAAGCCCTCTATCCAGCAGTGGAGTCACAAAGGGGCTCTGTATGTACACGCACTTATCGTGGCTTTAATGGCCGTATCTTTTTGAGAATATTTTCCTATTGTCTCCGGCAAAAAAGCTGTCGGATTGATATTTACATTTACACGTATAAATGTCTGTGCCACTGCAAATAAATTGCACATGACCCGGGTGACCTGAGAGTATTACCGGTGTGAATTTGCACACCGTGGCACTAGGCGCATCACAGGTTCTACTTCTAATTGCCTGCCCCAGGGCACATCGTAGGGGTTGGTGACATGGCCTAGCGGTACCGCGTTCGCGGCCTGTTGCAGAGCTTCACGGTTAGAACCCAGTGACCGCCCTGATTATTACTGTGGGTGTTAAACCGTTGACCGAGCACTTCCCTTTTAAACAAGGTCACGCTACAGGTTGCTTGGACACCTATGAATCGCCTCATCCAGCTCATCTTTGCAGTTCACACTTTTTGTCATCAGCTTTGGGCATGTTCCATTCTTACAATCCATATATGGTTAGTGGGCTCGCCATCGTGTCATACCTTTGCTTTAGTTTTTATAGTCCTGTCTTAATTATTTCAGAGCTTGTTACATTTGTTCCAAATGTATCTGGGGTTAATAAAATTTTAATATCAGGCCTCCTACATATACATATGATCCTTATGGCGATACCCCGGGGTACCAAATAATACAAAATGGCCGAGGCAATTAAATATTTTATTTCTGGGACAAAATTTTTCCCAGGGGTGTAGTTAGCTCCGCGACTGGGGTACCAATCAATCCGAAATCAGTGCTACTCCGCGATGTCGAAACGCCAAACATTACCATTAAAAATTCGTTATAGAAAAATTCAACTTTTATTAGCGCATAGTGTACAGCTCGTCGAGATGAGTCGATTGCCGCATCGCCGACCATCAACAGACAAAAAATGACTGCATCACGGACATGATGCGAGAGCCGGGGTACTATGGTACCCCGGGGTACCGCCATAAGGTTCATATATAAATGCATCTGCTTGCTCCAGGTTGTCATTGCCTATTTAAAGTTTCAGTTTACGCTCAAGGCGACTTTGGGAATTACGTTTGCAATGCTCCACCCGAAGATGGTGCTGTACTACAGAGCACGTAGCTTACAATTGTGGCGGCAGCTTCACCCACATTGGCAGTGCCATGGGGAGGCGGGGTTGGGGGCGAGGCTGGACCTTGTGCCAAATTACAGCAGATGATGCATTACTGGATGCCTAAAAATAAAAAAAATATGGTCACCGGAATCGCCCCACCAGACATTGGCGGGGGTGGGCGGGGGGGGGTGGCCGGTTGCTCGTAAAATGTAATGATCATGATGACTTGAGAACACGTGAGACATCCGTTACATGTCCACACCGTAGAAATATGCAGGTACAGAGAGAGACACACAGATACACCGAAAAAAATCAAGATGCAGAGATACGGGTTGAGGACACTAAGACGCCCATTACATGGCCACACCACATTTTGATGCTGCCAGCAATCACGGAAAAGCTTCCTGGAACTGCTTGATAAACAACGGACGGCCACACGACTGGAAATGTGGGAAAACGCGGCTTGATGCAATAATTAACGACGTCGCAAGCGCAAGTCTACTTTGGCAAACTCCTTGCCACTGGTGCCGAGTGAAATCGGTCGGCCTCGATGCGTCTAAATGACCTTCGAACTCAAAAGTTAACGTGCGGAAAGCGTGGCTGATCTGACGATATCGACACGTGTGACTGCGGTGGAACGCAAACCACGCAAGACCTGTCAGTCTGCCGGCTCCTGTAGGAGCTCCTGTAGGAGCCGGCAGAATTTGAAGGACCTCGCCATGGCCACAGACCAGCCAATATCATCATGTGCCCAATACTGGATAAACGTGTTACTGTGGTGGCAGGACATGAGAATAAGCAGAATCAGAAGGATTCGAGCAAGAGGGCTGCACACAATGTGATACATGAAACTCATCTTTCTGTTACTTGCACGCAACTCACCCTGCTACAGTCTGGAGCACAACGTGAATATTGCACGCACCCATGCGTGTGTGCAGAAGCATACGGCAGCCAAATACAAATGAAGGACAGAGTCACACGGTCTCGAGGTAAATATTTACATTGGGAGAAAATAACCCGAAGTTAAAGAAATGTATTGAAGTGTTTTACGCTGCATATACAACAATATAATTTACAGCCCGTTGGTAATTCACTGCCGGATGAAGGCCCCTCCCCAAAGTCATTTGGGTTATTTAACCATACTTCTGTGAGCTGGTCATTGCCATTTGGTGAAAAGTGGCTTCAGTACCGGTTCAGATATCACCTGCTACTGATGTTAACTGCGGCCAGGAATCAAGCATTTAATACTGACATCCCCTAGCCACCTTGCAGCCCCCCACACCTATAACACATGGCAAGCCCTCCTGGCCACCCATCCAAGCACTGTCCAGCCTCAACCCTGCTTGGCATCTGAGATCCAATGAAATATGTATGATGATTTGGTCATAGGGAATATATCCCAGTGGTTATTGTTTTGGAGTGATGGTGGTGGGTGAATGAATAATTATTGGCGGTGGTGGTTTATTTGTTGCAGCTGACGCTGCGCGATGTGCTGAGTGCAGCACGCGCAGTTGTGGTGAGCGAGAAGGGAGGCGGCACTGGGCTGCCCCCGTGGGTGCGCACCACCGCTGCCAAACTGCTGGTCCTTGTGTCCAGCACACTGCTTCTACTGCTGCTGCGAGTGCAGGTCATCCAGTCGCAGTTGCCTGTCTTCACCAAGTGAGTTGAGAAACTGGTTTAAGCCCCACGTCCCTTTGAATGTGAGTTGACTGACTTAACTGCAACAGGGCCAACTTGCTGGGTTAGTGCTGTTTGAAGTTCATGCTCAAGTTTTTCACTGCTCAAATGAACATGTCCATCAGTTTTTGCAGACCTGTCCGATATGTGCCAATTCACTCTACTAGTTATCTCCAAAGTATGAAAATTTCACATTCCTATGGCTGCAACTAGTTTCTAAAACCTTCACCGTCAACTGGCCATAGCTTAGGAATTGCTGTAAGCACGTGTTGCTTAACATGAACTACGGTTAATATATAAATCCCACGAGTATGAACTTTTTAAAAAGTGATTCTGGGCCTTTGCGTCGGTAAACACAATGCGGTGAGGTTAGTGCCGCGTGTGTCCCTCGAAGGTTCGACAACCCGGCAGCCGTGAGCGGCTGGCCTGCACGCCAGCTCACCTACAACTACCTGCTGCCACTCAACGCGTGGCTGCTGCTGTGTCCCGCTACACTCTGCTGCGACTGGACCATGGGCACGGTGCCGCTGCTGGTGACGCTTGCCGACCCCCGCAACATGGCCACGCTGGCGATGTACGCCGCGCTCGGCTGCCTGGCTCAACGCGCCCTCACTGGTGACCGGGCGCTCGCCATGGTACGGGGCCCGGGATGACACGTGTGTCGGAGGGGGGGGGGGAGACAAGAGACAGAGGGATGGAAACAGGATTCTACTTTAATATGCTAGGGAGCAAGACGACATCCTTCGCACGATGCTCCTGTTCAGTGTGTTTGTGCCTGCATGTGCTGCTCATCAACACAACGAATGTTGTCAGGAAGTCATCTGATGTCGAAATGTCAATCTCCCGTTTTGATTGGCGATGTGAAATGTGGAGGAAGAATGAAATGGAGAGACTAAGATGAAGTGAGATGGATGCATTGAGAGTAGAGAAGGATAGACTGATACAGAATGAGATGGAGATAGTGCCAAATAATGAGACAGACTGAGAGAAAGGGAGGCAGGGAGACCAAGACAGAGACAGACATTGACAGAGGCATATCATCTCACGTATGTATGTATGTTGAATTTCTTTTGCATCGTACCGTATGTAGCCAACCGTGCTAATCGGAGGTACAGTGGAAAGACAAAAAGCTAAGCACATAAGCAGTTCTTAAGAAATTAGTTTTCAATTGAGATTTAAAAGTGCATTAGCTGTAGTGGCATCCGAATATCAAACGGAAAAGCGTTCCAGATGGCTGCAGAAGCATTCCTGAAAGCACGCAATGCAATGGCTATCTTTGTTCGAGGATGGCTGGAGTTCGTGTGATGGTTGATGCTCCTTGAGATGAGCAAGGTATTGTGGTTCATTTGTGGCAAGGCACTTTGTGGGTAATGAGTATCACCTGTTCATTCATCTCCCGTGCAGGCTCTGTCTCTGCTGGTGCTGCCTTTCATCCCAGCCTGCAACCTCTTCTTCCCCGTGGGGTTTGTCGTGGCAGAGCGCGTTCTCTATGTGCCCAGCATGGGCTTCTGCATGGTCGTGGCCATGGGATGGTACAGGCTGTCTCACCTCAGGTACGGTTCGGTTCAAGCGCACATGCGTGCACACACGCATGTGCAGTGGTTGTTAAACAAATATTCGAACCTGTTCATTTTTTGTACAACCCAGAAACATCCAGAGTTGTCACTGTTCAAACAATTCTGTGGACCACTCTCAGGCCTTGCAGAAAGAGCTCTTGTCACACTGGCATCAACAGAAAATGGGCCTTATAGGTCGAGGACCTTTAAGCTCCAGGAGAAGGAGAAATGAAGTAGCACCTTGACCCGAAGGTTTCCAGTCCACACCAATTCAGCTCCCTTGGGGGGGTCCTACCACTGATGGCAGGATTGTCCCCGATCTGCACCCCATTCCCCTATTGTGGTAGCACCTGTCCCACTTCACTGTCAGGTGAGAGGCATCATTTAAAGATGAATGGACCCTCAGTCATCAGGCAAGGCTATCTTCTGGTCTTCAAAGAGGAGCCTGCCCCGTTCGGCATGGTAAGAATGATGGTTCAAATACTGGACGCTGAACGCAGACCGTGTGATTATGGGACCATCGGGATCTACCTCCAGAAGGACAGCGGAGTTTTACTCTTCTGTTCGTCATGACTCTGAAAGCATAGGAGGCTTCCATGCGACGCCTAGGTCTCGGGCATCTCAACCACTCGTTGCCCAGCTGGATGTCCCATGCAGTCACTCTGAGGTCAATGGAAAACGATGAAAACTTGGCGACCGGCTAGCAGCCATAGATTTGGCAGATGTATGGTCCCATAGACGAGACGCATTGTCAGTTGGTAAGGTTTATGGTGGGAGACTTCCGCCTGCAATACGACGATGCGGTTTTTATCTTTGACTCTCAGCCATGTGAAGGGTCGAGACCAGGGGTCGGTAACCAAAACAACAAAAAGAGAATTTTTTTTAATTTGTTAAAAAAACAATATTTAAAGAGCTGCAATGCATGTGAATACGAGATAGTCCTTAATAAATAACGTCACAAAGTACCGTATTTTCCCGCATATAGCCCGCATACGCATATAACCCGCAGACGCATATACCCCGCAAAAATAGCCTTTTGTGTAAAACAACTTTCAGATAGCCCGCACCTCCATATACCCCGCATGCATTCATATCTTTAACGTCGTTACCGCAGCTTAATTCCATCATTTATATGAAGTTTACATTTGTAATACATTCCACTATCAATTGTTAACATTAAAATCATAACGTGCACAAAGAAAACAAACTAACCGGAAACGAGTGAACGTGAAACAGTAAATAAGTAACAAAAGTAAATATCCAATAAATAAGTAACACATAACTGGTAGATAAGTAAGTACAGTTTTAGTACTGATAGATTGCGCACTGCGCAGATAATAGCGGAACTACGGTAACTCCATTGCCCCACCCCCCAACCCCCACCTCTCTCCCAGCTCTCCCGTCGCCGGTATACAAAGTGCGTCCACTTCAAACATTGTCGTTTCATTGTACAAACAATTCGAATCATTTAAAACGTGATAACATGTGCAATTTTAGTGTGAGTGGTTTATTCAGGAGTGCTTTAGTCAAATGTAAGTGTTGCATAGTGGATAGTCCTACCATGAAAACATTTAACGCGTTATGACACGTCACACGTGTAAAATCTTTTTGGGATAGCCCTCACCTCCATATAACCCACAGGGTCTTGTTTTGTTTGTATAAAGTGGTTTACCCCGCGGGTTATATGCGGGAAAATACGGTAGTCCTTAATGAGGGAGCAGCAGGTTGCTGACCCATGGCCATGGTGAACTGGACTTCCATGGTGAACTGGACTTCCGTGGTCAGGGGTCAGAAACCAAAATAACAAGAAGAGCCATTTTTTTGACAATTTCAAAAGCCGCACCGCAGTCCTTAATAGAGCCACATGCGGTTCTGGAGCCGCAGGTTACCGGCCCCTGGTCTAGACTGAAGTACTGGAGCCCATCATTTGTTCATTGCGAGGAAGGTTCATGTTCATCCATGTTTGGATGATACCTCTGTCAAGTGCTTGTTTAGATCCCTTATCGTTTTGCCAAAGAACCTTAGACACCCATAAAAAACGAAATATCGATGAATCCTTTTCCTGCTGGTTGCATGCAGGCAGTTATTACACACAGGTGATTTGCCTTTTTTTTGGAGGAAATACGACCACATGCTTAGAAATTATTACAAAAGCAGTGCCAGACGGTGCTTGTTATTGCTGCTATATGTGTATACATCCTGGCCCCGCATGCACAAAGGCAGCCTAGTTTTATGGTTCTCCGACCCATTGCTCTAGTCTGTGGGAGCCAAAGTGCGTGTGTGGCCAAGATAAATCATGCAAATGCTGTGCACAGCAAAGAAACTCCCTGTTGGCGTACCAACTTTTGTACAAAATTCTCGACCAGCAGAAACTAATCGAACAATTACGTAAATCGGAGAGAAAACAAAGACTTAAGCAATAGAGTCAAGAAGGGGGAGTAAATAAGACGGTGTGAGTCAACAACTGGTTATTAAGTGACTCCATCGGTGAATGTGGTTCCGTGACATACTTTGGTCTTGATTATATGATCTTCTTGACCAAACGGTGCTGTGATTGCCATGTGAAATTCTGAAATGTTTAAACTAATCGGGGCGGAGACTAAATACTAGCTTATTATTTATGCAATTTTAGAATACATTATTTTTCTATTTACACGGCCTGGCAGTTCTGTAATGCTTACTGACACTAATGACCTCACTAAAAATGCTATTACAGTAAAACCTTGGATTGCGAGTAACATGGTCTGCGAGTGTTTTGCAAGACGAGCAATTTTTTAAATAAATATTAATTTGATAAACGAGCGAGGTCTTGCAATACGAGTACTGTAGTACGTACAGTATATGTTTTGTCTGCCGAGTGTCACGTGATCACAACTGAGCCGATGGTTCTTCTCTCTCGATGCAGGATTGTGGGTAATCGTCTCCCATGCTCGGTCTCAGTCGGCATGCCTCACTCGTATAGTCAACATCCGTGCGAGCGTATACTGTTTACTATAGTGTTGTGACCACGAGTGTGTGCGTAAAGCATGTTTTTTATTTAGTGTCCAAGTGTAGTGACTGTTCTTTAGTAACTGTACTGCAAGTGAAAGTCGTCCTACACAATAACCCTCCTCGCCTCTCTCTCGTCTCCCTCACACCAGCCACGATTCAATGTAATTAATACATTTGATTACTTTATATTAAATGTAAATAATAAAAATATAAAATGTATTTTGTATTCATCATTTTTATATGAATACAGTATTTTTGGGTTGTTTTTCTAATGGGGAAATTCGCTTTGATATACGAGTGCTTTGGATTACGAATACGTTTCCGGAACGAATTATGCTCGCAATCCAAGGTTTTACTGTACATTGAATTTGGTCGGCCAAGTAATTTTGGATATTACAGAGGTTGTAATTGTCCCTATGTCTTGCCACAATAGTTACAGGTTCGTACAAATAACAAGACACTTATTTAAAGGCCTTCAGAAGTAGTTGCTGACGCCATCTTTCAGTGCCATTCTATGACATGAGGTGATGCGTTCTTTGCATTGAGATTTACACGTTAAACTTTATTCACCTTGGGATATGACGGTGATATAAAAATTAGAACATAACTGTGGAAACATGCACAATCTTGTACCAGTCCGGGACCGGCAGCTGAGCGGTAGAACAAGCGGTTCACAATCAGAAGGTTGCTTGTTCTAACTCTGGTTAGCCATCGACTCAGACCATCATCTGCTTGGATCAATAAAATGCATATTGCTTTGTGGGGAGTCAATAGTGGTTGTCCTATGGATTGATTCACCTCTGCCATAAGAATGTGGAAATTCCACCACCGGCTCAGGGCTGTAAATAAGAAATGAGCACTGCCTCAATTCTCTTTGACACCACAAAATCACATTTGCATGAAAGCATCTTACATTAAACACTGTCATAGAAACAAACAATGATATAGAAACGTTGCATTGACATTCTGTGCACAAACTCACTTGCCTCTGCATTTATTAATGTTATTACCATTAATATGCAAGGCAGCACGTTACATAATAGTTGAAAAACATTTGTGGTTGAGTTTGTCATGCAGTAGATAACATTATGACAACCCCATAGCTTGTTCATGTGCATGCATGAAACGTGTACATATATTTTACTTGAGATGCTATCGCGGCATTCCACATTTTCTATGGTTCCTGGAACAGTCAGCACTCCTGTCACACGTGATGAATGCGATGTGAGCTCTTGGCGCAGTCATTTTCTGCAAGAGACTTATGCTTCTGTGCTGTGTGCGGAATGAAGTCTTGGCCGGTGCTCATTCCATTGTTTAAAAAATGCTTGGTCACATCCAGAAATGCAGTGCTGGCTCATGTGTAAACACTGCCAGGCCAAAGTCATTGTCATCTGAAGCAAATGCTTAACCAAAACCTGTTGACCCAATAGAATTTAAAGTATCGTCAAAAATATTGTTGTGTCAAAACAAGCATGTGTTGTGCTCAAGTTCATTCAGGGGCACTGGATTAAGGGTTATAAAAAAAACATCCACATTCCAATGGTGGGATTGGTTTCGCCATAGGCCAGCCATTTTTGAGATCCCACAAAGCATTGCTCACTTTAACGAGCCTCGCAGGATAAGGGTTACTCGTATGCAGGGCTGAGTTGACCCCCGACTGTGAATTAAAATCGGCGACCTTTTTAAATGGAGTGTACGGACCACTGTTCCATCCACCCAGGTGGATGGCACATTTAAAAACGATGTCCAACTCACAATCGGAAGGTTGTGAGTTGAAATCCCATTTTTGTGATCGCTACAGGCCTTCTTTTGTCCTGGGTTAATAAAATAAGCACAGCTTTTTGGGAAGTCAACAGGCTTTGCCTCTTTGAATGCACCAGTCCCTATCATAGACAGCGGAATTTCCACCGTTGACCCATGACCGGGTACATGGGCTGATAAGCAATGTTCAATACATATTTTGGCACGAGAACATTTTTAATTACTTATAAGTTTTCCTAAAATTGTCACGAATAACAAGTTACTGCATGAATTTTATTCAAAATAATTTTACCGGAAGACCATCTGGCAATCACGACACTTCATTAATAACTGACGCTTTTACATATGATAACAGGAAAGAGAAACACTGGCAATGATTTCGAGTCTAAAGCTATTGTTCTATCTTGTGTTACAGCTGGATCATTTCCATTTGGGTTATGTGACCCCTCTTCTTGGAATAGCTTAGAATGCCTGGTGATTTTTCAAAAAGATGTGTCTTCGAGGCAGACTTGCATACTCCTGTCATTGTTAACAATGGGGGGCATTGTTGACTCCTCGGTATTACAAACGGGATGTTCCTCTGATAAAAGATCAGCGTTTGTGCGGAAGGGGAAGGTCGTTTTGAGGTCCGGAACTTTTTCGCACGATCTCACACTGGTCTGCATCTTACTGAGAATGCCAGAAAGATGGCCGTTAAACAGCTTGGCAATGAAGAAATACAGAGTGATAGTCTTTTAGGCGTGTATACGTACATACATACCGACAAAACACATGCAGATACACAGGCAGATATGAATTGAATAGAAACAGTGACTCTTAACCAAAATCACCCTGAATCCACAAGATTTCTACTTCAGATGTCGTAAGCTAAGAAAGGCATCCTGGTTAGAACTTAGATCTCACAGTACCGAGGAATTCCAGCTGTTCTTAATTTTGGGCTGTCTTGAAGGAGGCACCACAACATTTATGAGTTAGCATTTGTATTCCACATTTGTATCACATAGTATATATATCTGTGTCCCAGTGTTTGGTGCATTGTATTGAGATGCATTTGAATTCTGGTGTAATGAAAATCCACATTGTATTGTATGTGGGGCTAGGGAGTGACAAAGGGAATGTTTTCATCCCATACCCATGATCTTGACAACAGTTTATATTCCCATTCCATCCCTGGAGAAATGCTCCCATTCTCTCTCACCCTGTCATGGACAGATGAAAGAAAAACTGAAGTAGATAGATGAGAGGGCACTCGAAGGCCACACAAAAGAGATAATATACAAATGACAGTTCCAAAGATATGACAGCGCATGCATGCAGCACGAAGAATACTGTGCAGGTGAAACACAGACTAAAAATGTACCACATGGATACAAAAACGTATGTATCTTATTACAGATGATTCATTACAAAAAAAAACGCACAGCATTTCTGGCGATGAGAGGTGTCGACGGACACGGCCGTGTCAAGACGCAACTACGAGTGGCACCGTCGTTACCGATATCATTGGACGTTGGGTAACCTTCACTTCTTGTAACGCTCGCAGGGCCGTGCGCGTGCTGACGTGGGCTGGCCTGGTCCTCCTGCTGGCGACGCATGCCGTCAAGACCGTGCACCGCAACGGCGACTGGGAGACGGAGTACACGCTTTTCACGTCGGCGCTCAAGGTATCGCTCGGACAAGAGCACGCACGCTGCACGCAGCAGCAGCGGAGACAGAATAGACATTGAAAGGGGGAAGTGGCGGTGGGGGGTGGGGGTTGTTAAGCACCAGAGGTGTGTTGGGGTTAAGGATAGTGTCAGGATAGAGCAACATATTCGTCAATAACAACTGTGGCTAAAATGTGTAGTAGGCGATGTTTGAGGCAATGGTCCTTCATAGCATTTGTGTGCTGTAGAGAAGGGCCATAGTGAAATATGGGAGAAACACGGTCAACCATGTTTTTATATCTTCATGTCTGTGTTGTTTGATGACTTCCTGAAACAAGAGATAGCAAATACTTTTAGGTATTGGTTTAACATGTGAGAATGTGCATTGACAATTTTTAGTCGGAAAGAATACATAAAGTGAACAAAATGGCATTTTCTTTGGAACTTAATATGTGGATCTTATTATCCCCTTAGAGAAAATATGGACTGCACTATATAAGTGATTGACCCTGCGACACAACCATTATTCTTTCTGGTGCATATGTTATCAAGAAACTGACTGGTGTGGGATTCAGGGCACATTCGATTCCAATTTATGCTTGACTCAGACTATGGTGGGAGTTAAAATATAACCAGTGTGGGATTGAGGCTTGGACCACAGTAAGCGTCTTTCTGACTCACCACTGTGTGGTTCAGGCGGTGGTTGTGACATGTTTACAAGCGATGGTGTAAATAACAAATATATAGTTTTAATCAAGAAGCGATAGAATGGGTAGTTTATGAAGTAAACTTTTTGTATCTTTGGACCTTATTTATCCAAGCTTCCGTGAAATACCGTACAGCCCATAACTCTACTGATAACGACACACAAATGGTTCACTGGCTGGCAGTGTGCTATACAAAATAAGTAAGCAGATAATGTCTTCTTCAAATTTATATTTATTTGCCATTCGCCTCATGGCCCTCAATCATCGCTGGTGAAATTATTCACTCTCAGAAGGCCGTGGCGATATTTGAAATACTTTTTTTTTTATCATGTGGAGATAAGGAAATATGATGTAGTGTTTACTTATTGATTGTGCTCTACAAGTGAACTGCTCAGCATGTTAGACAGCCAACTGTTGGAGTGGATCATACGGTACAGTAACTACTCTGCAGATCTCTTGTCATATTCCTGAGGGGAGAGTGTGGCATTGGTTTTGCACGATGTCTCTGACACACCCCGACTGGACATCTGTGAAAAAGAGATTCTTAGCTCATCAGATTTCTCCTGTCTAAATTAAGATTCTGATTCTATGCACAGTAGTTTATCAGTAGAGTACTGTGTAAGCGCTTGTGAAGTATTGTTCACCGCAAATATTCTGCCGTGCACACGTTAACCGCAGAATGATATTGGTTATTGCTGCAGCTGTTGAGCATCGGTTGAATTGTGTTGATCAGAAGTTGCTGTACTTTTACCTCCTCAACCTTTAAAAAAAAAAGTTTACTACAATCCCATTTTATGACAGCTTAAGCCCTTGTCACACTGTACAACGTCACGAAAGGTTGCAAAATTAACTCCTTTCGCGTGTAAAGCTTCAAATTGCACAACACAGATCGTTGGAATAGCGGCTTGCATAGTTGAGTCACGCTGTACGGCACTATGACGATACACGATGTGATGTCCTACATCATTTTGTGTGTAACTGTCGGTCCTTCTCACACCGAATAACATAACGAGACTTGAACACCACACAATGATCTCGGCGTGATCCACCTACCCATATCCAAAGCTCTGTATTTCTGGCATCTGTGAGCGCACGGACTTCGGACTTGGGAGTCCAGCATGCTTTAAACCTTTTAGATTGCTTCGGCAATGAGTCATACATATGTGGCCCCAGTTAATCAGCCAAAGCTTTGCACCCTCAGAATAGTCGAATGTGAACTGGGTAGTTTTGTGAATGACATTGGTTCATTGTTTCTGAATACCGGAGTTGACTTAATGATGTGTAGGTGTGTGTTGAGAGGGGAGCGATAGTATAGCGGTTAGCGTGCTGCGCTTCGAACCTGGCGACCCTGGTTCGATTCCTGCTCACAGCCAACACCAGTGACGATTATCTGAACCGCTCCTGGGCCTCCCCTAGGTCAGGGGTCGGCAACCAAAATAACAAGAAGAGCCATTTCTTTCCAATTCGGTACAAAATTCAGTATTTCAAGAGCCGCAATGCATCTATGTACATACTGTACATACGTACATATCGTCAAGAAGCAGCCCGTAAAGAGCCGCATGCGGCTCCGGAGCCGTAGGTTGCCGACCCCTGCCCTAGGTCGACTCAGCCTCAAATGAGTACCTGGTGCGATGTGTAAACATCGCCACGAGGGAGACAAGGGCGGGCGGGCGTGGTGTTGGCCACCCACCCCCTCGTGTGCCGTGCCGGCCTTTATAGGTGCTCGCTAACAGCACTTGCCCCTACAGACTGTTAAGGCTATAAGGGGGAGCTTTGTCTTTGTTGAGAGGAGCGGTTCTCCTCTTGTGTATGGCAATATGTTCAGGAGGTAAACGCCAGTGTCGAGGTCTGCTCGCCATGAGAAGGCTTCAGGAGAGAGTTCATGTCGTAGGGGAGCAGTTGTGCAGTGGTTAGGCACTGTGCCAAAACACCCGGTGAACCAAGTTCGATTCCCACTCACGATCACTAACAGTCGCAAATATTTGAACAGGGCCTGGACCTCTCCTAGGTGGACTCAGCTTTAAATGAGTACCTGGTGTGGTTGTGTAAACATCAGCACTGGGGAGACAAAGGCGGCCAGGCATGGTATTGGCCACCCTGGTGTGCCGTGGTGGCCTTCATATGTGCATACAGCACTTGCGACAGCAGTCTGTTCAAGGTGACATGGGGGATCTTTGTCTTTTGTGTGTTGGGTGAGAGTGAGAGCTGTTTAAATAGTAAATGGGGAAGTGAGAAGGGAATGGTTTCACATTTGGACTGTACGTAACACGAAATAATCTTTTAGTAGAAAAGTTTACTTCATCTGGAAATAATTGGATTCCGTGAATCGTGCTAGATCTGACTAAGTACACATGCACGTGTTTGCAATGTGCACTCAAGTGATTCGTATATTTGTACACATTCACTTGTTTTTGCATGCTTGTATGTGTTATTTTATGCATTTGTGTGCTTTGTCTGTAATATTTATGAATATATAAAACTTCAGAAAAGCATCATGATGACCATTGTGTTGCAGACATTTTCAGGTATCCCATTGCTTAACTGTGCCCTTTCCCATCACGAGCAATATTTGCAGTTCGTGTCTGGCTGTGGCTCGATCGTGAAGTAGAAATGCATCCTTGTCCGCCGTGTTGCAAACTGCCCATAATGCAATTTTTGCCGAAGTCTCTTTACCATTGTTGTACTTTCCACCTATGCTCCACACAATTGTTCTCCCCTATCGTGAGCTTCCTTTTTTATCGAGTCAAGTGTTATTTTGTTACGTTCCAATTTGGGAAAGTTGCCTGGTGTTAGAATATGACACGTTGGTTTATTAGATATTTTAGTAGGTTGATGGTGCGTGCCACTAATCCAGGGTCGCCATGGTGGCGAGATGTTAAATACCTTGCCTGGTATGCAGGAGTTCGTGGGTTCGATCCCCACCCTGATGCCTGTATATTTGGAATTTGCATGTTCTCCCCGTTGTCATGTGGATTTTTCTCCGGGTCTCCAGTTTTTCCCTCCACATTTAGAAACATGCGTTTAGAGTATTTGCCTGCTATAAATGTCCACATGATAAGCCACTTCGTTGAGCTATAATTTGTGGCCAGGTCGCTTCTGAAAAAATTATGTAGCTCAGTGGGCCTTACCTAAAATAATAATCTATTTTTAGTTCATTGGAGATAATGTTGTTGATGTGAGACTGCTACCCGGTAGGCCTTTGAGGTGGCCAGAAACGGGGCAGTGCAGAGTGCACCGTACTTAGATGTTTGCTAATTATGGATTCCAATGCTGGGGATTTCCCACATACTCCCGTTTCCTCCCGCTTGTAAAACGGTCTCGGAATTTCCAACCATGTCACGCAGGGCAACATGAGTCTGCACACTCATTTTTGTGGGGGTTTTTTGTCCATGGAAAATAAATGACTGCTTCTTAATTACTCTTTGATGAATGAAATATTGAGGGAGGGTTGTTTTTCTGCTGCTCTCATGACATATTATTTGCCTTGGGTATGACATATGATCCACATAAACCTTTTGATGCAAACTGGCACAAACTGAGCAGCACAGTACAAACACAATAAAAAAAATCCAATTTGGAATTCCAGTCAATCAAGTGAGGCTCTTCATTCAGATATGTCCGTGTGGAATGCCTTATGCTGAAATATCACATGTAATCATGATATACTGCTCTCTTTGCTTATTAAATCTGAGAATTATGCGTTCACATCAGTGGAAATATAATTTTTTTCCAAACATAGCGTGTTTGATGGCTTCATAGTGCTTATCAGTGACTGCACCAAAAACATTAAAATCGTATCTGATTTAGGAAAGCTCACATTTGAAGACTATTTATGAATATTTAAAAATATAATTTTTTGGATGGCTTGCAAGAAAATACGCTTTACAGAACTTAAAAGGGAGCCTATTGAAGTGGCTCCAATCACATTTCTGTAAAGAATTGCTGTGGAAATTCCCAGACATCTGGTGGTTGTCGGAGAATGCATAGAGTTAAACGTCTTAATATATTACAACAGATAACCCTTTATTCCGCAAAGTCAAAAGTTCAATCAGTGGATTGGTATTTATTTTCATTGACGGATGGCTACTAACTGACCCTCTACAATAGAAAACCAAAAATAATCATTTGCGTACCTTGGGGAGCATGTAAATATTAATATAGATAAGCAAACAATGTCTCATTCATATATCTGTCTTTCCACCTAAGAAAATACTTTTATCCTACAATAGCTAGGCTTGTTCGTAGATAATTTAGTATAGTTTGAAAACATCTATATTAATATTTATTCATGAAATCCTCACTCATTCTTAAAACTTATATTTAGGAAGGTCCCACATAGACCAGTTTCTTGTGCAGGAATTTTTGTCTTCGAAAAGAAAACCAGAGTACTAGGAGAAAAATGACACATTAGATGCGATAACACTCACTCGTTCTCACGGATGAATCGAGAAACCGTTTGGTGTACTGCAGTCTCTTAGCTACCTTGCAGCCCTGTGGATATGATAGTCTTACAAATATACCTAATCTGCCAACCATAGCATCCAACGAGCTTAATTGCATGTGTGCCCTCACCATGCTTAGCTGTCATAGTTAAGAGCTGTACACAAACCCAGGTAGCCCGATGGCAATGGGATGGCACCACTGGGATCCTGGTTTCTCTTCCACTTGAAGGGATCTCAAGAGTATCTCTCTGATGTCCACTTCTGGTGGGCCGTTCGCTAACACGAAGCGTTGTACTGCTGTGCCAGACCTCGGAATGGCTATTTTGTCTCATGACATAGCACCAATAGCACAGGTGGGATAAAGTTGCTGGGAAATGTATCTTTTTAAAGAGCCGTATACAGCCCTGAATATGCCCCCTGATAAACCTCCCCCCCCCCCCTCCTTCTTTGCAGGTGAACAAAAACAACGCGAAGCTGTGGAACAACGTGGGCCACTCGCTGGAGAATCAGATGAACTACACGGGGGCACTGAACTACTTCCTTCAGGCGGCGCGCGTCCAGCCCGGTGCTGCCTCTTGCACGACCACACGGCATCACGGTCGCACCACACTTGCCCCCCACCAGTGCTCGCTCGCCCGCCCGCCCGCCCCGCAAAGTAGCAGTGCCGTTTCGCTCCCCGCTGACGTTTTTTTACGTCGCTCTATGCGCTGCAGATGATGTCGGTGCGCACATGAACGTGGGCCGCACTTTCAAGAATCTGAATCGCACGCGGGAGGCCGAGGACGCCTACACACAGGCCAAGGCGCTCATGCCGCAGGTGGGGCTATGCTGCGCTGCCCCCAACCCCCCCCCACCATCGGACTCATCTGCCCGCCTTCTCTTCATTGACCCAGCGGCTTGCTATGAACCTACCCCGCCCCATCACCCATTCGTCTGTGCATTGTGCTCTCCACCCATCATCCATACCCACCCAAACTCCCACCTGCTCACCCGATCACCCGCTTACTCTCACCCTCCCATTGAGGTTAAGTGCACTCCTCTCTGATTGACCACACTCCCCTGCCCACTCTCTCATCTTATCACCCACTTTCTCAGCCACTCTTACCCTCACCCTGGAATCCAATCTCCCACTCACGTGATCATTCGTCATCCCCTCACTCACCTACGCAGCCATTGTATTCTCCCACTCTCCCACCCACTCTTCTGACAGCTCACTTGGCTACTCTCCTGCTCTGCAGTTCACGTCACTAATCTCACATCACCCTTTCATGTTTTCTACCCTCTCGCCCACCTTATTACTCACTTGCTCACCCACTCTTCCACTCTCCTTTATACTTTACCACTCTCCCATCCACCCACTGTCCCACCTATCTACCTGCTCCCCAAACAGCTATCCCACTCTCTCACACATACCCTCTCATCTCAACACATCTGCCTGCCCTCCCAGTCACCCAAATCCACGACCCTGCACAGTTTGATGAATAATGTTGTTACCCAGGAATCTCTGCAACTGAACCATCTAGTTTCCACCGGACTTTCCCCGTGTCCTCCCCCCACCAGGTGGTGCCAGGCAGGAAGTATTCAGCGCGAGTGGCTCCAAATCACCTGAACGTGTACCTGCACCTGGCGAGCATCATTCGCACCAACGAGTCTCGCCTGCAGGAGGCCGACTCGCTGTACCGCCAGGCCATTGCCATGCGGCCCGACTTCACGCAGGCCTACATCAGCCGGTATGACACCCCTTTGTGCGGTCGCTCGCTGTGCTGTCAGCGGTCGGCGTGCCAAATTGTCCCTTAAAACACTTTGTCCTTTCTTTGTTGGTTCGTAGCTGGGCTTGGGCTCACTGATGAGCCGTTATGGGAGTAAAACACGTCTGTGGTGACACTGCCAAAGTTCCTTTGTTGAATGATTTTCTGCTGAGAGGCTGAGCTATCATCATGCAAAGTCTTCCATTTTGCATATTTAATACCTTTTTGTCATATTCTTTGAAAGCCAAAGTGGCAGCTGTGATCCACCGGTGGAAATTACATATTCTCATGGTGAGAGCCAGCCTGTCTATGCAACAATTACTGTCTTGATTTTGTACAAAGTGGTACTCATATTTTTGGTAAGTCAGTCTTCGAATGAAATTTGAAATTGAAACCTTGCCTACACTTTAAGCATAGCGCCACTCGGCCAGATGATAATGTTTAGTTCTAATTCCATACCCACAATGCAGTTTTGCGAGACCTACTTTTTCACTCGGCATTCTCAACATCACTCTGTGTCAAGGTCTTGTATCAACACCAAGACAAAATTGAAACGAATTTATCATTTCAGACAATTGTCGCTGCCTGTGACCTTGTGACCCCGCACTTACCCATAACCCTGTGACCTCATGACCCCTCTGCGGTTAGTGGGGAGCTGCTGCTGAAGATGCAGCGGCTGCCAGAGGCGCGCGCGGCATACGAAAAGGCCGTGGCGCTGGACGGGGACAACGCCGACCTCTGGTACAACCTGGCCATTGTACACATCGAGCTGCGGCAGCCGCGCGACGCCCTCGCCCACTTTGAGCGCGCGCTCGCCCTCAAGCCAGCGCACCGCCTCGCGCTCTTCAACTCCGCCCTGCTCATCCAGGAGACTGGTGCGTGCGTGCGCACATGTGCGTGTACTTGGCAGTAGGTCGAACTCGGCCTCAAATGATTACCGGGTGTGGTGTGTAGACATCGCCACTTAGAGAGACAAAGGCAGCCGGGCGTGGTGCTGACCACTCACTCCCTCGGGCGCCTGGTATACAGGAGGGTCATGGTAAACTAAAAATTGTTTACGGTAGTTTAGTGTGTTGTGCTGTGCCGACCTTCATAGGTACTTGTGAACAGCACTTGCCCCAACAGTCTGTTAAAGGCTACACAGGGCTTCTTAGTCGTTGTGTACTTTGGAATGATACAGAGAAGACTAGCGTGGCCCCTGTACAAGGGTGACACAAATTAATAAAGCATTGCATATTGGCCAAAATCTGAACCAGTCTTGGGCCTTCTAGGAGTACCTGTTTCAGTGTGCAAACATCAGAACTCATCCACCAACTTTGATTTAAGACAGAAACAATGTTTGGCGACTGCTGGCTCACGTGCCTGGAGCAGTCGGTCACTGAGCTTCCCGAACCGCTGAGTCACTGCCGTCATTCAAAAAACGAACTCAAAACCTCGTCAAGAGCCACAAGTGACACTACACATCTCAATCTCATTGGATGGGACGAATGGTGACTGTTTAACATCTGTTTTTACACGCTTTTATTTAACTCACTCTGTTGTCGTATCCTCAAATCTTGTAACTCGATTTTAACCCACTTCCCAATGTCGTATCGACTGCAAACTTGATATACGTATGCCATACTGGTGACAATACCATATTCTATCATAAAAAATATAAAATATATATTTTTAAACGATCTTTTTTATATGTTATGTTTCGGCTTGGGTCTAATTGTCCGCGCTCAACTCACGTTGGCTGTAAATCACCACAGGTCCCTTACTTATGGCGAGCCTTCGCGGTATCTTCCTGGAGTCGTGGAGTTCTGCCATTACTCTTACTCGTATGGTACATTTCATTAAAGCGTGTTTTTTTTTAAGTATTTTAAAATATTATTTTTGCAAACGGCTTGCTGAATTACAGCGCCTTAGAATCCGCCTCCTCACTTGCCTGCCCGCTCCCCCCCCCCTCTCCATCTCCGCAGGTGCCAGCGATCTGCTGGAGGAGGCTCACGGGCGGCTCCTGCGCTACGCCGAACTGGAGCCCTCCGACGAGAAGGCCTACTTCAACCTGGGCATGGTGGCCACCGACATGGGCCGCGCAGACGAGGCGGAGCGCTGGCTCCGGCGCGCCGTCGCCCTGCGGCCCGACTTCCGCGGCGCGCTCTTCAACCTGGCGCTGCTGCTGGTGCAGTCGCGGCACGAGCTGGACGCGCTGCCCGTGCTCGAGCAGCTGCTGGAGCACCACCCGCAGCACGCCAAGGCGCTGGTGCTGCAGGGCGACGTGCTGCTGAACCGGCGGGGTGACGCGGCCGGCGCCAGGCGCGCCTTCCAGCGGGCGCTGGCCGCCGAGCCGGGCAACTCGCAGGCCAAGCACAACCTGTGCGTAGTGATGTTCGAGGAGGGCGAGCTAGCGCGTGCACACGACTGCCTGCGCGAGGCGCTGGCCATGGCGCCTGACGAGGAGTACATCCGGCGTCACCTCGCCGTCGTGGCTGCAAAGCTCGCCGAGCACGAGCGGCAGCAGCACCAGCAGCAGAACCAGCAGCAGAACCAGCAAGAGCAACAGCAGCATCAGCAGCAGGAGGAGGTGCGCAATCGGCAGCAACAACAGAATCGACAGAAACCGCCGAACCAGCGAGAGCAGGAGCAGAATGATTACGTAGAGCAGCATCGGGAGAGTCATCAGCAGCAGCAGAGTAGTGATGATGTCGGAGAGGAACCGTCGGGGATGAGGAGTCACCGACGAGATAGTGATAGCCTGAGCCCACAGGCAGAGAATGATGGGAGGAAGCTCAAGGAGGATGTGGATGGGACGAGCGAGGCCCCTGCTGGGCGGGCCCAGGACATTGAGCGGAAGCGCAGAGAAGCGCTGAAGCGGCTGGAGGAGATAGAGCGAGCGTTAGATGGCATCTAGGGGATAGTCCGGGACGGGAGTTCTCAACCCATGGGCCTGCTGAGAATCTGGAGGATGCAAGCACCAATAGTGAGGATTCAGACAAGGCTGCGTAACTTTGCACACAGGTAGCTTTTTTGTTGTTACAAAGCCAAGACAAAGTTGACTGTACAGGCGACCCCCGCACCTTCGACCTAAGTCGAACCCCTATTTCCCATAGGCGCAATATTATACATTGGAGTTGCATTCTTGGTAAACCCATTACATACCATGTAATACAAACATTTACCACGAAAATTTATGAAAACAACCCGAACAAACATTATTGTAACTTAAAATAACCTTTACACACATTTATTAAGTAAAAACAGACACTTATATTTGAAAATCCTCAAGTACTTTTCTGCATCTTCTTTTAAGCCGTAGCGAAAGGTGAAAAAAAAATTTTTTTCTAAATTTACAGAGAATTTACGAAGAAGTGAGGAGCGATGTGAAAGAGATGCTGCGTTTGCTCTCGGTGCAGCTGCAGACTGTCGGGCGAGACTGTACATAGGCATTCAGCAGAAGAACAAAGCAGCGCTACCTGGTGACGATTGTGCCCATAACACGCGCAGATTTGTTGCCAACCGACTCGGTGTCGGTAGCAGCTGTTAGGTGGTCGTAGATACGAGTTTTGGTCGTTACTGTGGGGGTCTTAATTACTATAACAAAGGTCGTAAAAGCGGAGGGTCACAAGTCGAGCCGGCGTAAGTCGGGGGTCACATGTAATTAAGAACAAGGCTCTGTTGTCAACCTATGTCGCGTTGTCTGCATTATTTTATTAGGCAATTCTAATGCGGTAAATATGTAGCATTATTGACAGGCTAGCCATTAATGACTGTGGGGTCATTATCTGGCATGATGCGCTTTTCCCATAAGTCAGTTGAACGTTGTGGCGTCGTGTAGGGCTGTGGATGCCACAGTAACTACGATCACAGGAAGCTGCATCACAGGAAGTTGTCACATCACTCCGATGGTGAGAAATCACCCTGTACAAATGTTCTACTTGTGGGCTATGCTTAGGAGGTTCACAGAATTTCTATAATCATTGGTCATTATTTATCGAGCAGATGAGCAACTGAGTTTCAAGGCCTTTTGTTTTAAGGAGAGCTGCTTCGGATGTTGGACAATCCCTCATGAGTATTATTGTGTGCACTAGATGGAACTGAAGTATCTGGAGAAGATGCATGCAGACGAGGAGAACGCACTAAAATAAATCCATCGTGGGCGTAAGTCGGGAATCTACTTCCTGTGCTGCCTCTTTCGGTCAACCTTGATGTCACCTGCAGATTGGACACCTCAAGATCACCGTGTTCTATGCACAGTCCGCCGCCAATCCCACCTTTGTTATCTTTACCACTCAACAAAGTGCTCAGGGGTCTGCACGGCATCTTTGAGTCGGCGCCCCTTCACGCCTACTTCTGCAACCCTAAATGATAATATAACACTATTCTACACAACACTAATTGCTTCCTGTCGCTGTTGCAAAATGAACATCTGACCTGTAAGCACTGCTGTCACAGTCTCATCATTGCTATCCTGTCTGGCTTCAGTCTTCCCATTGATCACCAACATCCAGTGCCTGTATCGGTAATTTCCCCTGTATTCGTCATGTACGTGGGCCATACCAACCGCAACCTCTTTTACCTTTCATAAAGTCCTGGCCTGATACATTTCGCGAAGAACCCGTCTCGTTGGGTGGACTGTTTGCTTTTTAACAAAGATGACCCGTTTCACTGGACGGCCAGCCCCTTGAAACCTGCAGATGATTCGATGTGCAGCAGCCTGCAATCCAGCTGTAAGATGCTGGTATCGCCTGCGGGAGCGCTCTCTTCAGTATCACTGCTACGCTTAACCAAAGGCATCCGTCTGCTGTGAAGTGGATGGTCAATGACAATGTGATATTATGGCTTGCGAGAGAAGGCCACTGCGCCTCTTTCATAGCACGATCGTCGGAATTGAATCATTAACCCGTGGTTTAGTTGGGCAAGTATAATGACGAGCAGTCAGTAACTGTAGCGGTTTTTTTTCCAGTCCTCACTTAAAGGAAAATAGAGGAAGAGAGAATTGAGTTTGATGAGTTTTGTTTACACTCGGGAGCAGCGTATTTTGAAGGACACGAAGAAAGTGAGAGTTATGAAAGTTGTTTAAATAGCGCAGTACTTTTTCAGAGCAAGACGAATAGAAGGGAAGTTAAATTGAGAGTGATCAGTAGTTGATGGCATTATTTGTCAGGGCTTGAATAGAGCTCTACTCTAGGTTGAGCGAGCACGACCCCGTGAGAGATGGGATATGTTGCTGTTAAACGCAACCGGTGGTCTCTAGCCACCTGTTTGAAAGTGGCACCCAGTTAATGTATTAATAAAAGCATATTTTTCGTCCAATTAAGAGCAGTTCGAGTGCCTAACAGGCAGATATGAGTATTTGTAAATGCCTGTTGGAAATCACGGTGTGAATTGATGGCAGATAATGAATATAATGAATTGTGCAGTGTGCAACAATGTAGTTTCACAAGTGTTTGTATTGTTGTAAGGCTGCCCGCACGTTCAGGCAATGTTCTATTTGACAATACGCGGTGTATACCAGGGGAAACAATGTTTTGTTTGTCCGAGTTTTCGTTTTGTTTTAGAGCTCCCCCGACCTTATTGTGAGTTCACCGCTTCAGGTGGTCGCCGCGCTTCGCTGCCACGAGGAATAACTTTAGGGCAAAGCTCAAGAGCAAAGCTGTTCCTCATCCGTTCTGTTCCACATAATGCGTTCGAGCAATCACGTAAACTGACGCCACGCTCAAACAAGTATTTCGTTGACAGCGTTGGGATTTACACGCGATATCATAGTAGAGGCTGGTCTCTTTCTCTCGACGGGACAACTATTGTTGACTTTTCCACAAAGTAGGTACTTGTTTTATTAACCCCAGGGAGACGATGCTTCAGAGTTGACTCCCGACCTGGATTTGAACTCGCAACCTTTCCGACTCCTGAGTCGAGATCTCTAAAGCACAGCATCAGCCAGATATACGAAAACGTTCATACGCGCTTAGGCATCTATGCACAGTGTAAATTGGACAAGGCACACACACACACATTCGAAGACTTTTTGTAGTTTTAGGCATTTTTCAGGGTAGCGCTCACGGTTTGGGATGGTGTGACTGTGTATCAGAGGAAAATGTCAGTGAAGTTATTTTCTCCGGTGCAGCGTCTCGTGACGGAAGTGATTGGATCGATGTTGACGTTGCCCGGCATTTACAACTCTCGACCGCCTCGGTGTATTGACAAGCATCAAGAAAGATAACCCGTGCAAAAACTTTGAGCACAGTTTCACCCTTAACTGTATTTTGCAAATGTAAGATAAAGCTAGCCTGAAGCTGCGGTTTCAACTCGATCACTTTAGTCGAAAACAAAGCTTGCACCACGTCCGTGGGTGGTGTACGTTTTATTAAGTGATAACCGAGAAAAGTACCTTGTCTACAAACGGTGGATGACTATCATGTTTCGTACGGATGTGGGTAATGGTTGATAAGAATAATTGCAAGCCGAATTTTTTTACCCTAAAGTTGAACGCACAGATGATGCTTATCCCCAGCGTCAATCTGATAGCTCATGTAAATACCACGGCAACCTTATACCGTAATCCATATCCCTTAACGCAACACCTTAAACCACCCTTCCCCTCCCACTTTTGACAATCTTCGTCGAATATAAACCCCAGCTCTCAAAGCCAAACTTTGAAGCCCACACCCTTAAAACGCTGCATTAGGTTAGCTCTGACGTTATTATCAGAGATCAACAAACTTGCCCCGCAGTAAAGCTGCAAGTGCCTTAAGTGTTGTAAACAAACACCAAGATGTTAGACTTTGTAAGTGTGGATCCGTGTGTGTCTCACGTGGGGAGCGGTGGTGCAGCGGTTAGCGCATTACACTCCGAACCCGGCTTCCCGAGTTCGATTCCCCCTCATGGCCAACACCAGTAACGATTATCTGAACTGGTCCCGGGCCTCCCCTAGGTCGACTCAGCCTCAAATGAGTACCTGGTGCGGTGTGTAAAACATCGCCACTAGGGAGACAAAGGCGGCCGGGCGTGGTGCTGGCCACCCACCCCCTCGTGTGCCGTGCCAGCCTTCATAGGTGCTCTCTAACTGCACTTGCCCCAACATCCTGTTAAGGCTATATAGGGGAGTTTTGTCTTTGTTTGTTCCTGTGTTGGCTTTGCGCGTACTTATATACTTGGGTGTAGAGGTGTCGTGGGGTTTGTACAGTGGCAAAGCGGTTTATGTAATGCGCTACGATTCCGTTGACATTTTTTTTCTTCGTTTCATGCCCATGCACGTTCGTGGCACATATTACTAGCATGTGTGCGCCGGGCCTTTCCTCGGTCACTTCACCTTAAAAAAAAAAGTACTCGGTGCGGTAGAGACGCAGGCAGGTGGAGTCCTGGCCACACCTCATGTGCCCTGCTGCCATCAATTGTCACTGCAGTGCAATTCCGTCCAACGCTGTTTTCAATACTTCATGGTACTGCGCTACGATCTCAGCAGTCAGTTTTAAAATTCCTGGCTACGATGGCACACGATGACTTTACCTAACCAGCACCTCAGGCAGGTTGGCTCAGCCTAAAATAACTACGGTGCCGAGTGACATTGTATTCAATATCTGTGCGGTAAAGCTGTCGCCGGTCTCATCACTCTCAATGCTTACACGTGGCTGAAAGCAGCCCATACGCACCAAATAACGAAAGTTATTTCAAACATATTAGCTGGTGAGCCTGGGTTCGATTTCAGACTCGGGAGTCGTTCTGCGTGGAGTTTATAGGTTCTCTCCTGCTCTGCATCAGTTTCTTTCGGGTTCTCCCAATTGCCTCCCATCGAATAAACTGGTATGGGCTAAACATCCCCATGCTAAAAGAAAATACCTGAAAATTACCCAATTGTGATTCCACAGCAGGCATCACCTCCTACTTTGAAAACTTGTCAGGACCCTCCTGAATAATATTCTTGACACTCAGCGAGGCTTTCCCGGGTAAACAAGCAAAATCATGATAATATTGGGTTTTAGGCAAATGCGAGTGGGCATATGTGGCTCTGGATAAACCCCTCCGCCCTCCCCCATGTCTCTCATACCAAACGGGGGTGGGAATAGTGGGTCGATGTTTGCTTGTGAGCAGCTGCGTGTTCTGAGTGAGAGGAGCGGTAGTGTAGTGGGGTTAGCGCGTTGCGCTACGAATCCGGTGACCCAATTTCAATTCCCGCTCAAGACCAATAACAGTGGGGAATATTTTTAACCGGTTATGGACATCCACTAGGTCGACTCAGCCTTAAATGAGTATACCTGGTGCCGTGTGCAAACAGCACTGGGGAGACAAAGGCAGCCTGGCGTGGTGTTGGTCTCCCCACCCTGTCGCATGCCCATGTCCACTAATCGTACATGTTACAAGAGTATATTTATTAAAAGAGCTATTGGGAGGAGGGAAATCTCTGTTTGTTCACCCGAGTGAATGATGCTGTGTGTGAGGTGTTACAACATGCCTCTGAACATATACACGTGCTCGTGTTCGACATTTCTACCTCAGGCTTATCTCAGGATTTCACGAATGCTTTGTAGGCAATCCGGGAGTCATGTGGAGAAAGCGCGTTGTGTGTTGCACTGTTTCAGCTCTTGATGACAGCTTAATTAACTTTTTAAATTAGACCCCGTCGTTTTCACTACTGTTACTTTCGAAGCTTCCGAAGTCTACCGATATTTGTCCTATCCCCCACTGTGTCATTGGGTTTAGTCTTTTTTTTTATTGGTCATGCAATGACTTCAAATTATCCATTCAACCCTACAAGCCACCCCTATTTCCAGGATCCTAACACCCCGATTTCTGGCAGAAGCAAACCACCACCCAACATAATTACTTGGTGTGCTGGTGGTGTGAGTAAACCACCACCACCCAACATAATTACTTGGTGTGCTGGTGGTGTGAGTAAACCACATCGGCGATGGGGAGAGAAAGGTGGCAAGGTGTGCACGATTCCTGCCACAACCTCATCTCGTGTTGCATTGGCCTTGGTAGGTGCTCACATGGACTTCACTAACCGTTTAATGATGTCAAACCATAATAGTGCAACTCTTTTATCAGTACACTGCCGGAGGAAGGCCTCCCCGTGCCGTATGCGTCACGACGGTTGTTTGGCCATACTTCGCCGTGTTTGGTCCGTGTGCGTTGGTGAAGAGGGTCTCGGGACCGGTTGAGGTATCGCTCGCCACCGATGTTGGCTCTGACTAGAAATTTAACTCGGGTCGCCGGGTTCATAGCGCAGTGTGCTAACCACTGCACCACCACCCGCGTCCCCCGTCCACCTCCCCAAGGGTTTATCCAGACTGAAAAAAAAGTTTATCAGAGCCATGCTGCATGCTAAGCATTCCTCGTGTTCCTAAGCCTTAACACTCAAATTCAGATCTTTGACTCATGATGTTTACAGACCATTGTGTTGTTTTGCTCACAAGAAAAACTAGTCTTTGTTGCTTGGGATTGACTGTTTATGATTTGCCACCTATTGATAGTGCATGTCGGCGGTTTCGTCGTATTTGAGAAAACTCTGCGGATGTTAAGCAGGAGAATTAAAACTGTGTTTTCTGCATGGAGGACCTATCAACTCCGTACGAGTTTTCCTGCCCGTCTTTGCAGTCTGTCAGCTATTGTGCCAG